GAGCCGGAACCAAGCTCAGCGTCCATTGGGACCGATACAGTGGTGCCAAACCGGCACACACCCCAACATTCATATATTGTGTTAAATATGCATTATATATACACTCAACTGTTCCTGTTTTCAAGGGAATTGATGACATATAAAAATAGGTTGAATTTCTTTGGATTTTCTGCACAAGAAACACGGTGAGGCATGGCTGCCGCGTACAAACTTGGAGCCACTGAAGTTGACGTATTCAGTAAACAAACAGACATCGTTCTCACCGATACCAACGCCATCTGCCTCAGAGGCCCTTACTACACGCACACCCAAAAGCTCCAGCTTTCCTATCTTTCGTTTATAGTCTTTGGTCATCACTGCTAAAATCAGACACAGCTGTGATAGGGTTTTTTTTTTTCAAATGTGCCCAAACACCAAAGGTGTACAGGGTAGTTGAAAAAGAAAAACAAAATATACATTATATTTAGCAAAATTGTCTCGGGAAACATTTCTTTGTTAGAATTTAATTAATAAACACAATCACCTAAATTTTATCACTTCTGTTACTGTATGGTGCAAACATAAAATAAAATCTATTTACAATCTCAGGTAAATTTACTTTTTTTATCATTTTGTCTTAGACTTTGGCCTAGGTGAATGTCTTGAATGAAGCAACCAACTTACTTATAAATGGAATGTTTTCTTTATAATTTTCAATACAGTAGGTTTCTTTCCTTCCACAGAAAAATGATTGAGGTTGCTTAAGAATCGACAAGAAGTGTGTGGAATCTACATCCTCAGAGATCCCAAATAAAAACCAAGCACTATTGATCTGTTTTGATTTTAACAAGAATGAGACAGAGTCGAAATACACAAATTTGGCAGTACTAACTCAGAGATGGTTTATGTCAAATTGTCAAAGTGCTAAAGGCATGGATGATCTCTACCTACTTGCCATTTCCTACACTGCAATATACAGTAATTCGTGGCTATTCTTTACTCCGTTCTCCCAATGCAAACATTTCGGTGAAAACCCTTAAGAAAATAAACCATTAACAAGTTCACAGAGTAATTTTAGACATTTATCCAGACCAATCTGTCCTGCTCCATTTTGGTTAAGTTAGATTAGCATTAACTGGTTATTGTGGTTTCCTTAATAAATGTATTATATAATCAATGCATAAACATATAAAACGATTCGCAAAATAATAAGGAGAAATAAGACCATGAACTTGAACTGAACTTTAGCCAAATTAACATACTAAATGTTTCATTTTACCTTGATTGCTGTATGTACAGTTGCCACCATTTATAACAGGTACAGTGGTTGGTGTGTTTTGTGAGATGCGGCACCACTTCCCACCAGACAACAGATAGGAGCCAATGACGTTCTAATTGGTAATCTATATTTAAATTGTAACCATACACGAAATGTGTACATTCACATATAAAGGAGGACTGCTTCTCTAGCATCCTTGGTCTGGTTACCAATAGCGAGGGTAGTTCTGCCCATTCTGCTAGCTTTACTACGATGTAAACAAACAGTGGTACCACTGTCACATACCACGCCAGCCTCTGTACTTGTTATAAATGGTGACAACTGTACATTATACCACAATTTCAGTATTGACAAAAATAAACCAGTTCTTTAATTTGTACACTACTGTATTAAATTTTATATTTACAATAGACTCCAGCAATCAGTAAGTTGCATGCCTTTCACTAATTTCAAAACTAGCAGTCTGCTCACCAAGCCTAATGAACTTGATGTTCATAGCAGATGTAATTAAATCTGTGAACACTTCACTGCAATAACAAAACCTAAAGTTACACCATTAGGATATAATATTTAAGTTACAAAATGCTTCAACAGTCAGTAAACACATCTTCAGTAAAATACATTACGAGATGATAAAGTAACTTCTTTTAATAATGTTGTATTGTAATCTTTATCTACCACAGAGTACAAGCAAATTAAACAAATGATTGAAGAACATTACAATAAAATTTATCCAGGGTTTTATAAACATCAAAACTTAGAAATGAAAATAACTTGTGGAGATAGAGGAGGTCAATACACTTGGCTCTGGCCCTCGCCTTGGGTATAACACACATACCGGTGGGAAGACTTCCAGTCTTAATTAAAGAGGAAGTATTTTATCGATTACGACTTCGCTGATTATTTCGTTTAAGTACTTATCATTTTGACAGTTAGGGCTCATTAAGGTAATGATTTTGCTATAAAATAACAGAGGCTGTGAACAGAGAAAGATTGATCATTTGAAAAAGAGGCGGGAGGAAGTTGGAACTTGTTTCAGTGAGGATGGGCCGCGTTCAGAGCATGTGGGTTCATGTTCATTACATCTACTGTAATAAATAACGCTTCACACGTCTTACCTTCAATACAGACGACATGTTCACGGATCTGCTGAGCTAATACAGGGTCTGGAATCAACTCTATTATGTCGTAAATAGCGTAGATGCTAGGGTGGACAGACTCGAATCTCTGGATCTCTTGACGTATTGCCAAAGAACTGCTTAAATACGGTTGTACATGTCGGTTATTCATTTTGAATCACTTTATGTATCATCTCACAAAATCACAAGGCATTGTATTCACTATAGGGGATTTGGGGTTGAATTTCTTCTAGAGCTCACAGGACGTAAACACTCCCTCAAAGATGGCTCACAACTACTGGTCAGTCACACGAGCTCCTCTATAAACATTACACCCCTGCGGAAACATATAATAAAAAAATATTCCACAAACAAAAATATTAATAGAATAAATTTATGATGCTATATACATGAATATCTTATAATTCAAAATCAGTTTATTATATTTCTGAACTTTATTTGATTTCTTGTGGTAGGGCGGTCTATTCAAAACTGGCAACTCTCTATTTTCTCTCTTTTTGCTGTGTTACTTTTCATGTTCATGTTTTATGATAATTAGAATATATTTATCTGCACAACAGTTTACTATGTGGAAAGACTACAATAAGTAAAACATAACACAGGCCTGGAACCTTCGTATAGTATGCTCAATTACTTGTAAATGGATATTGTAATGGTAGTTTAAGGCGATACAGCGCCTGGGGGTTTCCTGAACAGTAATATTGTAATGATAATAGTTCAGTGCCTTTGTGCATAATTGTAGTCAACTAATCAAGTACAGACTTATTACCTGTATATTATATATATATTTTTTAAATTTATCTTTGATAATTTGTACCCCTCCATCAATTCAAGAGAAGAATCATCCTAGGTATTATAGATAAAACGAAACAAAGTATTTAAAATTATAAACTATTAATATCAGTACTGCTATTAATATCACAATTATCATACTTATTGCCGTTATCACTATTACCATAGGATGATTTCGAAACTATGTCATCTCTAATTATCCAATTAGACTCAGGGCCTCAGGACTTAATTTTTCAGACAAAACACAACATTAGGTAAGTAATGTTGGGAAATAAGGTGAACAGTAGTAATGATAATAATACTAATTATTATTATTATTATTACTACTACGCCAATATTACTACTACTACTACAGCACTACTCCTACTACTATCCAATATTACTACTACTACTTGATAACAAGAGCTCATAGGAAATAGTCTACTAGCCACGTGTGTACGGGGTCCCCTTCCTGGTAAAAAACAGAATCATCTGGCATTAGCTAAAGAGAATATTAAAAGTGGCGTCCCACCTGTGAAGGTGTTAAACGAGGGTACTGCACAATACCAATATAATAAGTAAACAAAATAACATCAAATTTCAACCATTATCTTCTGTTTTGCCATAATTTGTTTTAATTACATGAACACTTATAAATCATTATCTTTATTTACGAAGGATGCTAAGGTGTTAACTTAATAACATAACTATTAACATGACTTTAAAGACTGATAATGCTGTTATGAAAAGTTCAGTGTTATGTGTTATGAAAAGTTCATTGTTATGTGTTATGAAAGGTTCAATTTTGTGTGTTATGGAAGGCTCAGTGTTATGTGTTATAGAAAGTTCAGTGTTATGTGTTATAGAAAGTTCAGTGTTATATGTTATGGAAGGCTCAGTTTTGTGTTATGGAAGACTCAGTGTTGTGTTATGGAAGGTTCAGTGATATGACTTTTTAAGTACACTGAAGGATTCACATTCTCATGCCACAGAGTAACTCTAGGCTCCTGCACAACCTAACCACAGCCACTAGCTAAGCAATCAAGCTACTGCATGTTACACCCACTGAAGGAAAGGACAATAATTATTTAGTCGGAACAAATCATTGCCTTGTTTACACATTAATTTTAATTTTTCACTTAATATCTTCTCTGTTACACTGTTGGCAGCTACAGGACGGAGTATGTATGCCTCCCAAAAAGTACGTTACTTTTTCCGTCTTTACAATTCGAAATGCTGGACGAAATCCCCTGATTTATTCATTCTCCAGCGCATCATCGAATGTTAATATTTTGTTTATTTACAATACGTATACTGTACTGTACTGTACATTAACAGTAGTGCTTGCATAAATGAATACCGCTCTGTGACAGTCCGTCTTTAAACCTCCGTAGCAATGGTACTCCATGCCAGATGCATAGTTTAGACATGGAAACATTCACTAATGCTCTGAAAAATTACATAGATGTGTGATTTTTTCTGGGAATAAAAGAATTTGTCTCAATACCCGGAAATCTCTCAAACTCCTTAACATTCTGCACCAATTGTTCCGGCTAATGGGGATATGACAAATGGTACCATCTTCTACACTATCTATCAGTAACACTTTTTACTAAACTCTTATATCACTCTATTAAAGAAACATTCAGTGGTTTCTGTAATAGAAAATTAAAACTTGAGTGATAAAGGCTGGATAAGAGTGGCAGCAATTTGTAGACTGGTTTGTTGTGCCGTAACTAACACCACAGCAAAGACATGACCCTCTAAATCTGTGTCATATAGGTCAGATGTCCATTATGCCATGTAATGCTGGGAAAATAAAATACAGTATAATTGTTTACTTACTAAATTTTATTAATGTATCCACTTACAAAGAGTGTCTGTAGGATTAATCTTATTTATTTAAATCTCTGGCACGTTGCACCCAAGTAATCTAGGTGCATTTGAACTACTCAGGCTTAAATACCTTTTGTGATTTTTGCCTTCAAGTGAGAAATTTCATGACAAAACAGTACAATTATGTATAGAAAATTTATCAAAGACCATTAATTACCATGGATTAAGCACTTTTATCACCATATGTAATATTTCTTGGTTGTTTAGCCGACCTAATATTAACCCCTTTGCCGGCTGATGATGATATTTGCATCAATACGCGGTCCACGAGTGCTCACATTGGCGCATAAGACCTTATGTTTCCACGCACATTTTCAGCCATCCCATATCATTTACTGTATACAACTACAGTTAGTCAGATTATGTACTGCAGTTTATAATTATAATTCAATAAATAGAGAAGAAAAAATTCACATAAATTTACCTGTAAATGTAACTAAAAAATATATTCAAACAAAAATCTATTAATTTTGAATAAAACAATTTGCGTCATTGGCCAGTCTATGGACGAGATTTGGAAAGGAAGGCCAGCTGGCAAAAGGGTTACGGTAATAGTAAGCTTTTATATTCACATGCCATCATGAGTTATGGGAAGATAAAAGAACATTCCAAACTAACCGTTTTAACAATTCTTGTGTACTGTGCATATACAGTACAGTACAGTACAGTACTGTACTTTTAAAATATTAATGAAGTTAAGTGTTTCAATGAAAAACAAAACAAAAAACACATTCAAATCATTCATAAATTCAACCTATCACTTACAGCATTCATATGAAATAGAAATGTTACTTTGTCAAAATATATAAAACATTGACAGATGAATATTAATGATGCATTTGGTGATTCAACTACACTGTACAGTACTTGTACATGGGTTATTTTCAGATTTTATAAAACATGATAAAAAAATTCCTAATAATTATGTAATCATAAAATGAAATATCACAGGTGCAATTACTATAGGACTATAGTACTGTACTATAATACACACTAAACAGTATTTTGTCTTCTGATAAAGATATTTAAAAAAATACATCCTCCTTTAATTAAGCACACATTTATTTATTTTTTAAATAAAATGTGTTAACTGTAATTGTCTTTTGGATTCTACATAACACATACTTAATTCTTCCTTTAATCTGTGTATCTACAGTATATATCAGCACTCCACTGAGCCACCACTTTTAAAACCTCTACAGTATATTGTCAACAGTAACAATGGAGTAATAATCACTCAAATTCTACCCTAAATAATATATTACATTAAATAATTTTGAACGACTACATTAAATAAGAGCTAACAATCATGAGTTAACAAAATATTTTTCAGTTTGTAGAAATTAGAAACAATCAAATAACCCTACAGGAGCAAACATCATGCATGCCAAATCAATATATTTCTATATTTATAATTATGAAGGAAAAAAGGTCAAATATAAGGATTATAAATTACGTAACAGATTTTCTTGGGTAGCTTAGCCAGGTAATTCATATTACAGTAGGGTCCCGGAGTACGCGTACCCATAGTAAGCGACCCAACTTATACATGTTTAACCCTTTGAACTGCCCTTACGCTTGGGTCGTGTTCTTGCATGAGCCAACTCAGCATCTCTTGCTTGCTCAGCGTGTTTATCACTTGTCCATGCTCGTTGAGAGAAAAAATTTAAATATAATCATTACAATACCCTCACATCCCTTAGAAAAAATAAATAAAATATGAAACTACAAAATAAGAAAAATAAAGGGCAAGGCTGTGTACGTGCATGGAGTGAACATTCGTGTGGAGGCAGTGGGCCGTAACAGCATTGCCGACTCGCCACCCACCCTCATTTCTTCCCCCATCTCAACATACACACACACACACGCAAACGTCTCTGAGTCAACTGAGTGACTGCCTGGCTGAACTGTGCCGCATAGCCCAGAGAATGGTTTGAGAATTTGTTTGTGCATTTAAAATGTTCACATGATACCACAGGTTTATTATATGTGTCCATTTGTACATTTAAGGTGTTTGTATGATATCTCAGGTTAAATTATTGCCAAGGTGTCCTCTCTCTCACACTGGTTCCATGAACATCTCCCAGGCATTCACGATCATAAAGTTTTTCTTTACTGGTGAATTTTACCACAATCATGGCCCCTAAGAGGAAACTTAATGGCAGAGCTCATGGTGGTGAGAGAGAGAAAAAGATAAAAGTGTATACTGTGAGAACTTTTGAAGAAAAAGTTAAGATACTGGATTTACTAAGGAGTGGTGTAACAAACTTTGAAGTTATGAGTTCGTTACCTTAGTATAAAAAAGGGGTTATACGTATATATACTGGGGGACCCGAATACATATATGCAAATTCACACTTATGCTGGGGTCCCTGGAACATAACCCTTGTGTACTCTGGGACCCTACTGTATAGTATGAACAATAACTTGGAGACAAGTGTACAAGGGAGCCTTATCAATAGTAAATGTGATAATTAGATGCCTTATTGATATACAGTACTGTACAGTATCAAAATAACAACCTTTATAAATTTAAAATGCTCATCTTCAAATACCTGGGAATAATTTCTTTAAAACTTGTTACATGCAGTGATCACATCTATGGGATTAGACTTGATGGCAAGTACCGGTATACAGTACAGTACATGATGGGTTGTTACCTTACCATGACTGGTAAGGATGGCCTGTCACATCAACTTAAATAAAAATTAGAAAAAAATATTGAGTTTTCGTATGTGGCATTTCTTACTTTGTACATGTTATTTTTTTTAAATATTTTCTTTCACAATATCTAATTATGGTACAGTATTTTAATTTTATAAAACTAAAATACAGCCAATGGCTGCTTACTGTACATTCACAGATGCATACTTTTTTACAATGCAACCATATATCTGACTGTATGTAAGTCCACACAAGTACAGTTGCCTCCATTTATAACAGGTACAGTGACTGGTGTGTTTTGTTTGATGTGGCACCACTGCCCACCAGACAACAGATAGGAGCCAATGTTCTACTTGGTAATCCACTGTATACAGTACAGTATCTAAATTATAACCATGCAAGAAATGTGTGCATTCACAGACAGAGGGGGGGACTACTTATTAGCATCCTTGGTCTGGTTACTATAGCAAGGTTCGTTCTGCCCATTCTGCTAGTTTTACTATGATGTAAACAGCAGTGGTGCCACATGTCACACAACATGCCAGCCACTGTACCTGTTATAAATGGAAGCAACTGTCCATTGTACCTGTACTAGACCTGTCCACTGACATGAGGTTGAGGTTGAAGCAACTTTTCCTTTGTTTTGGTAGTTTTGCATGAGAAACAGTCAAAGCTAGCAGTGTTCACAGTATACTGTACAGTAATTTGTATTAGGAACGAGTATTTTGTTATACCCGAGAGCACATTATGAAGGAAAAAATAACTTAACAAATTTCTTTGGAAAATTATTAAAAAAAAGACCTCCATCAACTCCAACAACACCAAAATCAACAACAGCTACATCTCCTGCAAAATCCCCTTTAACATTCCTTGAGAGCTGCCCTTCTACCCCAAAGCAATAATTTTTCTTTTCATCAATAACAACTCCACAAGTCCAGTGTAAGTGGATACAATTATTTAAGTTAAGAAACTATGTTCATTTTCTCAATACTATTATGTGTTCATATTTCAACAATCTGTCATTATTTGAGGCAATTGGGGGGTACCGGTAAACAATTTTGGGGGGAAGAATATTGAGTCATATCTCAATTTATAACATGGATTTAGATGGAAAGTTAAAATCTGCATAACAAACAGGTTTTCAGAAACACATCATGGACTTATAGTGGACACTGACTGCACATTACCATTGTTAATGATGGTAGAATTACATTATCATGTACCCTGTAAGTACTCTCAGTTAAAAGTATATTTTATTGAGATCTTCAGTCATATTAATGGATATTAAAATTTCAAGGAACACCTAGTAACTACAGTACAGTAATTATAGCTGATGATGGGGAGGGGGGGGATAAAACACACCTTCATAATGCTAAATTTTGGGGATTTATGTGACCTTCTTAGGAGCGAATTTTAGAGCAATGGAGTTTATGCAATACCTTAATCCAGTTGGTTGTGGCCCATCTGCAAACACATGGCCTAAGTGTGCCTTGCACTGGGGAAAAAGTGAAAACCAATTAAAATCATTTAAAATCTCACTAAAAATAGAGAATATGAAGATTTGTACATATTTCAATTAAAGGCTTTTCTCATAATAAGCTTGAATGGAGACAGAATGGAAGATGGGTGATGAACAGAGTCACTGAGTAGCTGAAGGTAACATGTGTACTGAGAAATGTTGAGGTAGAGAACTTTGTCAAAGGCAAAGATGGGAGTGCACAGGGAATTTAAATGCTGACATTACAGTATGGGTATTGTGCACTATTCAGGAAAAAGCTTGTACCGTATTAAGGAAATAAAGAAAATATTTCTCTCTCTCCTTACTTGCTCTGCCTCACATTTCTAGAATAGTATTATTTGTTATCAATTTGCTCTTAAAGTCGACATTGCCTTAAAATATATTACTTTACCTTATCCATACACTTACAATTACCACAAAAAATATTGATACCCTATAAATTTTCACATGATATTCATACAAAAACTTATTTCAAGGATGAATAAATCACATTTACTGACTTAAAATGTTTTATTCTACCACTATTTAGTGCTTAGTCATATTTCCCTTACATTTTATTACCAGTTGAAATATTCTTGGTATGGATTCTACTAATATTTGAAAATAGTCTCCATCCATCTCAATCTCCCACATGAGCTTGATTTCCTCCTGTAGCTGATGTACAGTTGAGGTGTCCCGTGCTGACAGCTTCCGCTTCATCTCGTGCCATACATTCTCGATGGGGTTTAAATCTGGTGAGTTCCCAGGCCACTCCAACAATGGAATAACCCTTTCATGAAGCCCAGCTGTCACACTTTTTGACCTGTGACAGGGGGCACCGTCTTGCATGAAGACTGTGGGACTGGTGAAGTTGATAATAATCCAATAAATGTTTTTCCAAGGCAGTTTTGTAGCAATCAGAGTTCATTGTTGTGTTTTTGGGGAGGAAATGGAGGCCAGCACGACCACGTTTTCCACTGAACGCTCCCCACACCATCACACTTGCAAGATGTTTCACGGATTTAATGGCGTAACGATGATCATACCGGCTGGTGTTGGTGGACGTTCTGACTGTCCTTTTCCCTGCAGTCAGGTTGCAAGAAGTGCTTTCATCAGACCACATCACAGAATTCCATTATTCTTTGCTCCGGTGCTAGTATTTTCTTGCAAAAGCAAGCCGCTGACGGCACATTCGGTCCGTGAGAAGTGGTTTTCGTGCAGCTTGATGGGAAGGCAGATGAAGTTCCTTCTGAAGGCGATGTTGAATTGTTCGTTCTGATATGTTTTGCAGGAGGATGGGGTGTGCTTTCTTTAATTATGATGCACTCATATTAAGATCTCTCATTATCTCAAGCCTCAGTAGTGAATCAGTGCATTTGGAGGTCTTCCTGGTGATGATTTCCTTGGTGGAATAACGTTGGCGGGAAGGTTGTGTGTCGATCTCTAGAGCCTCTTAATCATTGCCGTGCCTCGTCCTGTTCTTGAAATTTCTTTCATAGCGACTTTTTCCTCTAGCAGGGCAAGGATCCAACCCTTCTCTGCCTCAGACATGTTTTTGGGAGCCATGAATATAGTTTTGAAAGAAAATTTTGGGCTAATTGTGGATGTGTCTTAATTTGCACTCATCAGCTTGGTGAGTGAAAATTAACATGCACCCTGATCGATAGCAAGTGGGGCACTGGCCAAGTTTCTACCACTTCTACTCGCGCGGGAAACACCGTAGAGCTGCCAGATGTTATATATTTCCACCTTGACAAATTTGGCAGGCTGCTTTTCGTGCGGTGAAAGCATGTATAGAAGCACAGCTAATTATGCAGAGGGGATCAATATTTTTTGCAGTAATGGTATACTAAGGGCTTCTGATAGCTGTTGCAATTATCACTAAAAACTGATATACACACTGTATATTTATTAAAAGAGCTAATAAAGACCTAGCCTGGTAGAAATTCTTGTCAATCTTATATATAAACTAATAATTAAATTTAGTTTCAGCAATATGATAATCCAGTAATTTTCACTTGCTAAAAAACTTGTCAAAAAAGTAGAGAAGGTTTTGCAATATTTTTATGTAAACAAATAGGCCAAGTATAGGCCTACTGTACTTGATTGGCTCCAGATTCAGTGAAAGAGAACTGGGCTTTCATGGTTATACAGGAAGTTAGTATTTCCATGCCTTTGCTTTACTGGCCAAAATTTTGTCGAGGTGGAGCAAGTGCTTAGCAGGCAAAATCAAAGACTGGTCCAGATATCTCATTTATGACTGAGCCTATATCAGGTGATGCATGGCTGCCTGACAAGCCTATCAGGTGAAATCCTAGGATTTAACCAGATAATGCTGACTGCTACTCATCCATTAACTAATAATTCCCCCCTCTCAGAAGAGTAGGAACCTGACTTGAGAAAGTAAGTGATTTTGAGCTACATTACTAACATTAGAATGTAACAAGTCCTCTTTCTAAATATCCATTAAAACTAATCACAGGAAGGGGGAGATCAGACACATCAGTGTGCCCACATCATCCATGTAATGGTAAACAGCAGTCATGTCTTTCACACTGGAACATGCACTACAACTCTCAATTGGGTAACCCTTATGCAGATGTAGCCGACTTCCAAACTATTTACTGGGAGGAATGACAGTATTGAAGTTGCTTAGTTATGAACTGCTTTCCCATACACTAAGGAATGATACTGAAATCCTGTTTCTTATTAGAGTCTGTGACCATATGCATCTTGTAATACAGTGCTCACCTTACCAAAGTCGTCAAGGGAGTTGGCCAAATGTGGCTAACTGTTTAATTTATTCTTAGAAAGTTAACAGTTTAGTCTTCCCCATTGCAACCATCATTTCTAAATGGATTGTAGGAAGCAATCGTATTTTAGAAGTTCAGATGAAAGGTCTGATTGTTGTAAAGATTTACAATTCTTGAATCAACATGGTGGCAGTGAACAATGAAATTATCACATAAGCTGTTTTTCAGCAAAATCCTTCACCAGTTTCCTTTACCCACCTATGGGGAGATTTCTCTAAGCAGTCAAGATTCATAGTCCATTAGCTGCACTATACAATAGTGCATGGGCTTTGCAAAAACACAAAGTACTGTACATGCCAACATGGATGTATGAGATTGACAGCCATTTCTCAGTGTCACCAAACCACTCGTTTCTTAGAGCATTGTACAGATCTCAGGGATCCAAATGCACCCAACTTCTTCCTTTATACTTTCTAAGATTTTGCACATGTTAGGCTGTCACAATATTTGACAAAAATACTTTTTTTTTTAGCATTTTCCATGCATCTTTTATTGAAAGGACTTTGCAGCATCAGTTGCTATGACATCTATGATGTTAGGACAAAAGTGTATAGAGACAAAACAAAATATCTCAAACTTGCAAATCATATCCCAAAATCACTCTTTAATAGTTTTGTAAGGATTCATGGAGCCATTTTCTTTCAGAAAAGAAAAATCTAAACAGCAAATTTTCACCACTCAAAGAGAAAGAGGCAATTATTTTCAAATAACTATCCTTCAAATTAATGGATGTAGACCATGATCCCACTCCAAGGGTCATCTTTACCTGATGAATCAGTCATTTGATACTGTACTACCATTTTTTGGTTAAAAATTATATAGCGACACCCTGATGCCTGAGGATCAAGAAATGTCACGAAACAAAATAGACATGTCCTGGCACAGCTTTTTGTTGTACGTACAGTATATATATGGAGTCCAGGGGAGAGTGATTCTGTGGATGTCTGCTCTCAATTGTGACTGGCTAGGAAATGAATAAAAGATGACAGATGTGACTAAAATAAGATAGAATCATAACTTTGAGTGTCAAGTTTGCTGATTGATCAGACATGGCTACTAATAAGGCTCCATCTCTTATGACAACAAGTGTTGTTCTAGACCACTCTAGTTCGGGTCAGTGGTGTGAAAGGATGCTGAAAAGATTGGAACCCCATCACGTTTAAAATATCACTCCTGGACAAATTAATTGGGGGATGTCTAGGGACAAATAATACTTTAGTTGCAAGCCACAGTTTTGAGAAGCCACCTTGTGTAGAGTGTAAGCCAAGAAAATTACTGTAACTCCACCACCACCTGGTCTAGGGGTATTAAAAGTACGTACTTACTTCTCTGCACAAGACCTCAGTTCGAACCATCATATGGGACATATCTGTACGCGTCTCCACATTGCTGCCTTTTTTACCCTCAGGTGTGTGAAAGGACGGCCATCCACTACCAGATTCAAACTTTGCCTTTGAGCTGAAATAATAAATAATAAGTAAAAAAAACAAAACAAAACTGGTGAGCAGCAGTACTCTGAGCCCCCTCCTCCTCGTTCTGCTTCCCTACCATCTTATCATGAGCTTTACATCATGTTCTTTAGGTACAGGTACTGTAATTTGAAAATTACTGATGGTATATCGGTAATGAGTGTATCTCTCTCTACTATATCAGGGGTTAGAGTCCTGCTTGGCATGGACGCACGAGAGAAGGGTGTTGTCCAATGTGAACTAACCAAACACCACAGGTCTTCTCCTGAACTAGCACTGGACAGACCTACCAACTCAACATCTAGTAAGCTGATAAGTGGTAAAAGAATGTGAATACTGTATTACACTATGCACAAATTGTGTATGTACGTACAGTATACCGGTATAGTAAATAACCAATTCGAAAATATAATAAACACTGATATTAATGCTCACATTCTTTATTCTTGGCTTGTTTTTCTTAAATTCTTCAGTACTGTACCAAAATTTTTATCATTATCTGAAAGGAATTTTGCAATTATCTGACAATTCTGAGGAAGATGACAACATTCTATACTTTAATTTAATTTGGCAACATTGGCATCACTTCACCTTGGCTATCAACGACTCCTAAACATAGAATACAGTTTTGTATAGTGAATATAAATTACTGTACTGTAATAATTTATCTTTTGAATACTACAGTACTAAGGTTTTAAAGTTTAAATATAACGTTATTTTACATATAATAATAAATGAGGCAGTACTGTACTGTAATGTGATTTATTGGAGGTCAAAATACATGTAGCTGTAATGGAAGAAGTCTAGAACCTAACTCAAATCTTCCCATTACTGTGCTTGATAAAGGAAGCAACTAACCCACAGGTCATGTCTACTATTGACAATAAGTATATTAAGCTTAGAGAACAAAGTAACCAAATAGAGAAATAATAACTTTAGCATAAAATAGTCTGCCCTTACCTAAACAGGTCTGATCCACAGCAGAGGCACTGGTAGATCCCCTCTCCATGGTGGTTGTAATATGACCCACTAAATGGCTGTTGACAAAAGGAATTTAAAATATTATTTTATAATAATGGACAGAAGTAAGCATATTATATGGCCAGTGGGTCATTCATCATATAACATGAGAGATCACCTGATAAATAACCCCTTGATAAAGGCTGCTTTGTTCCAGAGGATACACTGTAAGTACAATACTGTACAGACATTCCCTGATTTAAGAAAGGGTTCTGTCCCTGAAAATCTTTCCTAAATAATTTTGTAAGCTGAAGTATATTTTCCAAAAGAATCCCTTATACAAGATGTGATACATTCCTAAGGGAGGAGGGGAAAAAATAAACTGATAAGTTAACGTATCCTCCTAAATTCTCGCTGCTTTGTTTACATGGTGCAAATGCTACCATGAGTTAGCTGATGCTACACTCATGCACTCTTCTGCATTGCCAGTAATGTCCACACCTCCAAACTTTTGCTCACTTCCCAAGTCCACACTTTCTCTTACAACTCTTTACCTTTATTGTACAAATCAGCATATACTGTACAATACTGTACTGTACAGCAAAATTACATGCGAGTAAATGAGGAGAAATTGGACTATCAGTCAACTGGCCGAGTGATTGTGCTGGTGGATAAGAGTTTATTTGTCCCCAGTGAGTTTGAGGAGTTAGTTATAAGGTGATTGTAGGAGAATGATGACACACTAAAAGCTTATTTGTACACTTAATAACACTGTGAGTATTAAAAAATAATGAAATAAGTTCGTGAAATAAGTAAACATACTGGTGTAGTATAAAATTTTAATTATTTTAGCACATGAAGTCTTTGGCAGAATAAATGTCAGCAAAACTGTGCAGAGTGCCTCTGTGAAATTATCTACTACAGTTTCACTAACTGAATAGTGTCACTACATAATTACTTAATTAACTATTGTGCATATGGGTATGAAAAGGAACACCAGCTAAAGAGTTAGCTGTAACTAAATGTACGGTAGAGACCATATTTAAAAGTACAAGAGAAAGAGAGAGAGAGAGGGAAAAAAAAAATTGAATATGAGTGTTTTGACAAAGTTCCAAATGAAAAAAAAATCCCGAAAGTCGGTTAAAATATCATGTGTTTAAAGCTATAAAGACACAGCCCTTAATTCTTTTTCTGACATGTTTGAACAGCCACATAATTTCAATAACACATTTGGGGATTTTTGAGGAACTTAAAAGATTTGCATGCCAGTGCTTGGAGGATATGGTCAGGTATCAAGAACACAGTGATATTAACAGATGTCCCCCATTACACAAGAAAGATTAGATTCTTTACCAGGTTTGTCAACAGAAAATGACAAATCAAAAATATAAAAACTGGAAAGAACGTGCTATAATAAAATTTGTACATCTAGATTCAAGAAAAATGTTTCATTTAAGATAACATACTTTTTTTTATTCGTTGTCTGTTGTTGTGTTGGATTTCCTGAATCAATTTGGAGGTACAGTAATTCTTTATTCCTTTCCCAAAATTCAAGCTTTACTGTAGTTAGGATTCTGAACAGATTTAAAGGTTTTGTTGCATTACCATTACAGTACTTGTTTGTTTTTAATTCAGTTGATTTATTCTTTAAAGTTATCTGGATTAAGTTCTTTTATATCATTCATATAATTTTATCATGAACTATGCTCCTCATCTTTTAATATTCATTAACTAGTACGTACAGTACAGTATTACATTATGCATTTGTTGACAGACTTATGAGTAAAATGTAAGTCATGCTGCAGGCTGAATATTTTATCCATATAAATAGTCCAAATATGTGGACTGTACTGTGTAAAGTAACTGTTTGTAGCAAAATGTGTACTGAAACAATTCTGTTCCCACTGTTACTGATAATGTTTGTATAAAAAAATCATTGGACAGGATATTGTACTGTATATTATGTTTTACTTAATAAAATTTATATTTAATTTATTGAATTTGTTATAATGATGAAAGGCTTTGAATATCGCATGTTGTGTTTGAACTTTATCCCATAATCTGTAATGGTTGTACGAGCAAAAAACAAACTGAGGAGATTAACTGTTTCATCGAATTATGGACGCTGCCGAATGACAAACAGAATAACACTGACATTCTTGGTAGGTTTATTAATTTTATGTTACAACGAGCTAGACTGCATGTCCAAGCTGAAGGCGCCCTTTTTGATCATTTATTGTAGACTAAGCTATACATTTGTAGCACTTATAAAACATTTTAAGTACATATGTAAAATACTGTACTCTTTAACTTCAAAAACCCAACTTCATTGAACATTTTTGACTGAAAATTACCTCAGAAATAAACTCCTGAGATATTGACATAAAATCATGGGATACCCTATATAAGGAGGACTGAGGCCACCTTATCTACTACCCGAGTCCTTTAACATAAAATTATATTCCTTACCGGTTCTGTGCCGCCTTCTCGTGTTACAGAATACTGCTCTGGAGAGAGTTCCTTCTGCCAGTCTTGAGGGGTCTTAGTTTTGCAATCTTTCTTCGTGTTTGGTGCACCCGCCACTGAATATGTAAGGTTATAAAAGATAAATTACCATGGATGAACCTCAACTGGCCTGTTTTGATTATTTTAAGATTGAAGAGGGAAGAGAAGAATAAAAAAGGAAAAGATAAAAATAATGAAAGAAGAAAATGGAGACAAAAACAGAATAAAAATAAGGAAAGGCATAAAGAACAGAGGGAGGAAACAGAATGGGTGGGCAGGAAAAAGAGAGGGCGAGGAGGGGAAAAATGAATGGAATATGGCAAGGGAGGAGGAAATTAAAGGAAAAGGTAAAGGTGGAGGGGGGGGGGGAGAAATAAGAAAATATAAAAAAGGGGAAATAAGACTCAGGGAGAGTTATATGAAGAAAAAAAGTCATACAGTACAATGAAATCATCATACTTTAAGATCATACTAATAATAATTGTCAATGAAACAAAACTAAAATGTAAAGACAACAATACAGTATTCAACATTCTTTATCAATCAAAGTTTTCCATCTCTCAGGATTTTAGATGTTTCAATGAGATCTGCCCTATTGTTTCTTGTGTGAACGGTTTTTAGGCCTAAGGCCCACAATCTACTTGGACAATCTAGATTACTTAGTTGTAGAATAAACTTAGTCACTCTGTGTTGCACCTTTCTTGGGATGTTAGATCATTCTGGAGGTAAGGTTTCCATGTCTGTATAGAGTACAGTAATCCAGACTGGGATATACTTGAGATTTGTACAGTTGAAGGAGTACTTTCCTATCTTTGTATTTGAGGGTACACTAAACTGTATAATTCCTGCATAACAGAGACATGACCAACCGCCCAAGTGGCTAAGAGCCAATCAGTGGCGAAGAGGGTAAAAGTAAATTTCGATTTGCTTTTCTCACTGCTCCGCCCACTTGTTGTGCATCCTTCAGTGAATGATCCATCACAAGGCTTAGATTTTTCTCGTTATCGACAGTATTCGGGAAAATGTTATTAACAGAAGAGTTGTAATTAGGGTTGGTGTATCCATTTTGAGATAAAAATTGCATTTTTTAAGTTAAATTGAAAAGTAAACAAAACTAAAACAAAATATATAAATTTCGCACCAAAATTTTATATCTTCCTATAGCTATACAAATCAATACTGTATAGACTTCCGTAGTTGTCCTTTTCCAAATCTTAACCAATTAACCAGTTATACTACCGGTACATTCTTTTAAAAAATAAATAAATAATCCTTTCTTGGAAAAGGACCATCAAACATAAATGAACATGGCAGGTAGTAAGCAGCTACCAAACAGGGAGGTACTACTGCCTGGGAAGATATTGGAAGCATAATGTATTGTCTAATGGTAGACTTTCTGCCATATGGCATTGTAGTGGCTCCTCTCCCCTACAACTTCCAACTGAGCTCCGGCCGCGCGCCTACCAGCCAATCAGCGTACAGCCAGCTACGCCAAGAGACTAGGTCTATGCAGTGGACGTAGGGGTATGATCGCCGACCTAGTCTCGACCTTCAACCTCCAGCTCAGGATCAGAGCATTTCATACCTTACGCTTAAGCCGCTGTGATTGGCCCTCTCGCTACGCTCACCCCAAATCCTGATCCTCGTAAATTGTATAAATACGGCCATGCCTGGCCAGGGAGACCATCTACACTCGGCTACCGGACCAGCAACATCTCTCACAGCTCCTCACCACCCAGCTTCCTCAGAAACCTCCTTGCCCTACAGGACCTCTGAGCAAGCTTCTCCACCAAGTCACTCCTATGCAATGCGCTATACAACAATATATATACAAAAAGCGCATCGTGAGTTTCTATTCTACCTCATTCCTGAGTGTGAGATATCTACATGTACGTACGTTTGTGTGCCCATACTAAGATAATTGACAACTGGCCACATACTGTACGCTACAGCATCACAAAAAATTTGACCAAGTCCCAGGTTGCTGATCTGACTCTCTGCCTCATTTACACGCAATTGCAGGGTCTCAATTGTTTCTCGTACCATTGACAACACAACATACATACTGTACTATATATTGTTTCTCACTTTTGATCTTTCATTTTTGTATTTCTTTATGGTTCTTTATTATTATTATTATTATTATTATTATTATTATTATTAGTGTTATTATTATTATTATTATTATCTAAATTATTTTATTTATACTGTACAAGTACTATGAATTATTATTATTATTACATTTTCGACCCCAGGCCCCGATGTGGGTCAGTGGCCTGTGCCCGTAAAAGTGTAGTTTGATGTTGTCTCTTTACTTAATCTTTACTTAACATGCAGATCCAAGAGGTAAAAATTGTAAGTAATAACATGCGTGTCATATTCCCCATGTACCCTTTGTCCATTTCTCAAGGTAAGAAATATTTTATTTTCTATGGAGAAACTTCCTAAAATTAGAATTAAGGGCACTCCCATGTTGTCAAGTATTACCAGTTTGTGTTCCTGACCACAGTACCCTGTACGTAGAGTAGACCATTAAGCCTTTCCTTTCCTTTGTCTTGAGGTTTCTTATTTTTTTTGCTATATTTTCAGCGGTGAGTTCTGTTATGATAGTCATTTCTTGAACAAATGCTTCGTTTGATAGATAATTAGCTATAAAACGGTAGGGATCGATTTTGTCCTATGCTCAGTGTATGCTTATGGGCCGCTCGGTTCGGGCAGCTTCTCTCACGTCCATAAAAAATGAAAAAATTAAGCCATATCATAGTAAGTTCTTCCTGTTTAGTATGCCGCAGGGAAGGGGGGGGGTCCTGGAGGTAGAGCCTCAAAGCTAGAAAGTTAGGTTAAGTTAGGTAGGTTTCTTTGGTTAGATTGGTGAGGTCATCTAACATCGCTGCTGCTGCTTGTTTTCTTATCAACTAAGGTTATGTTAGGTTCAATTTAAAAATAGCCACTTTTTAACACATTTGCTCAAACTATGAGTATCCACTGCAAAACAGTGAAATTGTGGCATTTTTAGATAAATTTTCTATGAAAAAATCGACAGTGAGTATCTTGCCAATAAGTATCAATTCTAAGACACTTTTCTTCTTTAAAATTTCTCTCACAAACAACCTAACCTAACCTAACATCCTAACTGTGGGGCTCCATCCTCCAGGCATATACGAATTTAAGTCTTTTCTGAGGGAAATGTTATATAAGAAAAGTGTCATAAAATTGGTAAAGGTGTAGATAACAGCTACCACCAGAAGGAATTGTCCAAATTAGTTAAAAAAATTTCTGCTCACTCATATCATGATAGTAAACACAAAAATTTTAACGACAATGAATAGAACCTGACCTAACAGACCCATAGGTTGGGTTTGTTAGGTCAGGTTCTATTAGGGTCTATGCATTGTCGTGTTAATTTATGTGTTAAACAACTTACCTTAATATTGAGGTTGATATACACAAACAACTTCTGGTGGTAGCCGTTATCTACACCTTTACCGAATTGTCTAAACAATTGATTGCAGCCAAAAAATTCTTAAAATTATTTGGATGGCAGCAGGTGAAATAATACCAAAAATTGTCACTTCAGAAAACTAACTCATCTTGGTGTTCCTTCATACCTGCTGAGGCTGTTGTAGACCTTGAAACAATGCCAGTAAGTACCAGACAAACTATACCAACAACACCAGTCATAATTCCAATGATTGCTACTAAAGTCATTAATATCTAGCCAAAAGTTAGCAATGTATGAGATTTTAACCAGGATAAATTATTAAAGTGGTCTAAAGTCCCCCAACTTTTAGTCTACTACGCAATCAACTGATTACAACTAAGAAGTTGCTAGATGGTACAACATTTATTATGTAAGTCAGTGACAGCAAACTCACCCGAAGTGACAGCAAAACCTCTGACTGCATAACATCTACATAGAGACGGAGAAGCTGAAGAGGAGATCCTGGTTAGATATCTGCATGCCACACCAGCCATATTAACATAGATGTAATCGAGACCAAGGCAAGAGCCCCACTGGTACTGTGGGCAGCCAGCAGTGCCAGCCAACCACAGTAACTACGACTGTCACGTGGGTCACTCGTTATTATGTCCCGCCAGCATGAACACCATTTCGTGGTTTTCTACAGTATTAATATGTCTGTATTATTAAAATGTTTACCCTTCTAACCTGTTGTAATTTCTACTCAGAATAAGTTTAGAGCTTATATTCTGTAAACGTTTTGTAAGGATTTTTTTTAAAGCAGAATGATAGCTTCAAAACAGGATCCAACTTTCATATACATAGGAATTACATTAATCAGTGTTAGCTTTTATTTTCTATGGAATCAGCATGCTGTTCTTATTAGTGTCCTTGTCATATTAAATTTCCACGGGTTACAGTAGCAGCCTACTTTCTACAGACACTCACAAAGACACATGTATACTTACTTCCAGATCCATAAAGGCATTTTTCTAATGTACTGTGAATTTGAAACACCTGTAACTGGTGTAGCGTTAAGGTTACGTCTTATAATAATTATACAATTAGCATTATCTTCGAAAAAATGTGATCCAATCTGAACTACCATAACCTAACCAAACTCAAGAGCACAGTGATTGGGAGATATTGTGGGGTTTTTGGTTCACACTCAGGATGGAATGGAGAAAGGAAACTCACAATGTGCTCTCATGTATACATGTTGTATTGGATGTACAGTGCAGCTTGGTGCTGGGAAGGCAGCATGGTTACAAGCGTGATGTAGAGAGAGTTGGTTGGTGAGGATGCTCAGAGGAGGACCAGCTTGTGGGTCGCTTTGGTCGCCGGTGCGAGCGAGGGCCGCCAGCCAGGAGTGGAGGTGTTGCTTGAAGACTGGCTGTAGGTAGAAAGAGGTAGGTCACCACGAGGTCAGGTCTTATACAGTGGGGGTAGGCGTGGCTTAATAGTTGACCTCAGTCGTGTAAGGCGGCGCTGGTTGCTGACCTAGACAGGAAGGCAGGCTGGTGAAATTCGCTGGGTCGGCTATTCAGCTACAAAAGCAATTGTAGGGGAGGAATCCACTACAAGGCCACTCCCAAAATGAACCTCACCAAGGAAGTAATGAAACATGCCAAGACAGCCACTTGGGCCTACTGTACTACAGTAAAGCTCACACTAGCCTGCATGTGTAGTTATTTTTTAGGTTCTAATTGGATGTTGAAAACGGAAGCGAATTATGTTTATTTTGCATTATTTTAATTAATAGTTTGACTCAATATTCGATTTTTATGTATATGCACTTTACTAGCTTTTAATGAACGAATAAAAAAGAAAGCTAAGCCGCTTGGCTTTGGGGGGATTTCTGGCTGTTTCGCCTTCCGGCTATTTCGGCAGACTAGTGTTTCCCCTTTTCATGTGCGGACAGAATGTAAGAAGGGGGACTAGGATTGCAAAATATATACACGTGAGAGTTTTCTATGTAATATAATGAGCGTTGTTTATATTGTTATTTTGCCATAAACTAATAAAAACAACTTAAACCACAATTAGATGTCAGATATTACAAGGTGGTGGAAGAAATTTGGGCTGCAACTCCCCTTTACTGTATTTTATCGTGGTGACGTGCACGCTAGCAGATTTTAGCTGGCTTGTAACTAAATTACATTTAACCTTCAGCTGTTGGAGGTTTGAAGAAAAAAAAAAAAAAATATATATATATATATATATATATATATATATATATATATATATATATATATATATATATATATATATATATATATATATATATATATATATATATATATATATATATATATATATATATATAGTAACTAAAATATAAATTAAATGACAATCAACTCAACAAAAGTGGCTGAGAACTAAGAAGAAAACAGATGGCCACGTTAAGTACTGAATTCTTCACCAACTAATTGTGCCACCAGACACAAATTCGATGCACGCTGAATGAAAGGCTCCTTCCTATTGCTGCCAATGGGCGCGGATCCAAAATTACCACAGACGTGCTACACACCTCCAATACACAGCACATGTATCTTGGCTATTAGTGTAAAAACGATGACCCCACAGCAATTTCACTTGCAATCATTGATATTCCTTGTTCTTACTGGGTAAAAAGAGAATAAGAAATAACATTCAAAATGAACCAGATAACCCCCTGAAATGATTCTTATTGAATTATCGAGAATATTAACTTTAAAAGCAGGGGCATAGTGGGAAAATTGAGGGTCTCCGTCATGTCGTTTTTCCGTCACCAATGGTCGATTCCCATTCACAACCAAGGTTGCCAGGTTTGGCCTTTTCAGAATCTTGTTGGCCTGAAAACAAAATTCTGCAAGCCATGGGTGGTGTGAGTGAAGCTTGAGTTGTGGGCATGGGTGGTATGTCTGAGGTATGAGTGGTGTGACTGAAGCATAGGCGAGTGTGGCATGGGTCACGTGTACCTGTTACAAGCAGTGTACTGGGCCTGTTGTTGTTTTTTTCTTTCATAAATGACATCCCAAAAGCTATACACTCCTCCATACAAATGTTTGCAAATGATGCCAAGGTATTCAGGGAAATTAAGAATCAAACAGTGTGTGAACAGTGTGTTAGCTTCAAGAGTGTTCAAAGAAATGGCGGTTAGGATTCAATGTCACAAAGTTTTAAGGATGCACCTAAGTCGCACCAACAGTAAGAAGGCATATCACATATCCCAATGGGAGGAAGAAACAGCAATAATAGAGATCGGATGTTAAAAGTACCTAGGTGTGTAAGTTGAAAACGAACTGAAGTTCTCAGGCCTTTGCGAGAAAAGGGTGAATCAAACAACTAAGCTGATAGGTCTTTTAAGAAGATCCTTCAGATATTTAGATGGTCTGTCCTTCGTATCACTCTTCAAGAGTGAGGGGCTTCCTGTTTGGCCCCTAAGATATGCTAGAGACTGTCAGTTGATCGAAAATGTCCAGAGGAGGGCCACCAGACTGGTACCTGCACTATGGCACCTCGGTTACCCATAGAGATTAGAACACCTGCAACTGCCTAGTTTATATTTTAGATGGGCAAGGGGTGACCTAATTGAAGTTTATAAACATCTGAGGGCACTACTCGGTCGAGTGTCCATTCCTGGAACTAATAGAAGCCCGCCCCACAAGAGGTCACAGTTCAAGGTTGAAGAAGCCACAAGTCCAGAAAATTGTGAGGGCAAACTTTTTCAGAGTGCTAATTGTAAACTTTTGGAACAATTTGCCAGTGTTGTGACGTCAATGAGTGTGACCTCTTTCAAGGCCAGACTTGAACAACACTAGTGCAGGTTCAGATACATTCTAGAGCCAGTACATGCCCAGAACTTGCCAACAGTGGGTAACAGAGGTGAGCGACTGCCCAAGTGGCAATGAGGCGAACAGTGGCGAGTCGCCCCAATCTTGCTTTTTTTTTTAATAACATACTGTACTTTTATATTGCCTTTTTTTTTTTACAACATTCAGTAAACATATATACACACACACACACACACACCAAGGATGATACTGATAAAGTATGACAAACAGTTGGAATGAAAACCACATATCACTACAATTAGGTAACATAATGAAACACAATTTGAAAGTTGACTAATATATTTATCAATAATATTTACACTCAATCACACACTGTATACCACAACCATACACATTGCAGACGTGTGGGGCACTGCCAGGAAGGTTTATTCAGATTACTGTATGTATCAGTTGTTGATCACAATTTGGGGTATTAGGTCTGCAATTAGCTGATGGGGATAATGGATGGCAGACTAGAAAAAGGTGGGGATTATGGTATGGTGCTGGTTCAGTCAATACCTTGGTGGATGATTTAATAGTTCAATCCTAATTGTTGTAACATTCAAATAGCTATGTGAAATATATTCAATTTTCATTCTTCCTAATATTAAATCAAGATTCGACTGAATCAATAATCCAGTGTGTTAATGAATAAATCTAATTCCTCTACTGGAGCAAACACCCGGCAGTGCCTGTGTGAGTATAAAGTCAGGAAAAAAAATGGGTAAAAGGAATTAAATTATCAGGGTACAAACAAGTATATATTTTTTATGGGAAAATAGTGTTGATAGATCCTGAAGAGTAAATACCAAAGAATATAACATGGCCCAATATACCCCACATAGTTTCTATACAAGACAGGCAGAATACAGTTTCATTCTTTCACCGCTTTGTCACAGACTGACAGTTTTGGAAAACTGGCAAATGCACAAGCTGCATCACATGTATAAGGCCACATCTCTGAAGCATCAAATAAGTTCACAGTGCCTGAGAAATATGTCAGAGGTCAAATCATTTCTGGCATTAATACTCCCAATTCATCATATTACCTGTTCCTTATTTTACTGTACATGTGTGTGTCTAAGCAGATATGTGTACACACACAAGTTGTCTTAATGTACTCTATGTATATATTTACTGCATAGATATACATTTTGTCAAGCCATTTCCCACTTAATACATGTATGTATGTATGTACTGTAAGTACACATATATATTCACAGCATACTGTATTTATTGGGTGCTGTGTCAGTTCATACCCAGTACAGTAGTCTATTATAAGGGAATAAGCCAAGGAATAAAGGAGTAGTACCTCTTAATAGTCACCTCCATACTATACTATATTCCCAATTTGGAAAAAAAAGTACTCACAAAGTGTTCCCCCACCTCCCTTCCTTAACAATCATTAGTGATAGATAAAAGGGGGATCAATGTTATGGAAACTCTGACAATGGGATTGGGTTTTAGTTTACACTTTTGAGTTCTAAGTAACATTCAAATGGACAAAGTTAGACTGGGTAGTAGCATAAGAAATCACATGCATTTCAAGCTGTGAACCTGTCATGAGCTACTGCATCAACACAGAATAATCACCTAAATCACAGCTTAGGTTGATGACCATTAGGCCTTGCCAGTATCCTAGACTTGGGATTCACTGATATGCGGTGAGAGGAATGACTCCTGATTCTTTTCGATTGTATCACAATAAGTATGCCACTAGTTTAATTAGGCAAAGAAAATAGAGAAAACAATATATGTAACAAGAATTATGGACCTTAAAAAATGCTGCATGACAAATACCTCATAATTCCGAGAAATGTTTAGGTGGGCAGGTGGGTGGGGGTATCTTTGTTAGGCAGTCTGCTAATATGGACACTTTACTACATTTACAGATTAAAACCAACAAAGTGGAAGCTAAGGCAAAGAGGCAATTCTACAATTGTTTAACAATGCTCAACATGTGAGAAGATAAGTTTTCATTTATATCATAAGACTAAGACTCACTGCTGTATCATTTTTTCAGCACCATATATCAACCACCCACTTTGTAATTTACATATACAATTTCACCAATTAATCAATTCAGAATCAGACATTAATGTATTATATGAGAGATGACTGAAAAATCATTAGGCGTTGAAATGCCTATAAGTTTTTAAATTTTTGCTCGGTACATCATGATGTTTTGTTGACTGTCTCTTTTACGTAAGACTGACTTGTACAAAATGCATGTATTGTCCCAAGGGAAAAGTTTGTCAGAAATTAATAAAAATTCATTGTTAGTTAGAGAATTCGATTTACAATATCCTGAGATTAAAGACTGGACAGTATTCAATCTATAAGGTGAATTCACAATGTTAAATATTAACTTGGTTTTCTTGGGATGATCAAAACAGTACTGTTATTACTGTATAAAAAACTACACAATAGAAGTGTATTTTTACATAGGATGATGCATGACAAAATTAAAGAGCAATTTTCTAGGAAGTGATGATAAAGGAGCATTCTTCCTAGAAATAAAACCAATAATATATACAGTACTCATTGACAGCAACTAATAATGTTCCAAAGAAATGTTTATACACTGAGGAAAACAGAAGTTACTAATCCTTGACATCCGAGTTATTCTACTCATAATGTCTTGTCAAATATACAACAGCAGTATGAATTATGCCGATATGAAAATCAACAACTTAATTTTCTACAATGATAAACTATACTTTAAAGAATCATTCAGATGGTAATATGTCTAAACTGACTCATTAACATAACATGCATGGTAGAAATTGTGCAGCTTCATCTTAAAATCCCATTTGGTTAAAGGTGATCTTGAACAATAATCCCCTCACTAGATAAACCTCAATATGAACACATTTTTAGCCGTGGTGCTTCGGTAAAGTGACTAGTCAAAAAAAATCCCAAGTAACCAAACTTAGGGTGTGATTGTTGTGTTGGCGACAGCTTCTACATCATTAATTCACACCCTGGAGCTGGCCATCCCTGTTACACAAGGGCCAACCTTTATTTGGATTGGGTCCTATTTGACATTCAATCCTCCAATAGCTACTTTTTTATGACTTTTACATTTTGACACGAGTGAAAATATAAAATTAAAACAAAACTTGGGACAAGACAACCGGAGACAATTACAAATATCAACTTATTCTGCATCTAAACTATGATCTTGTAACACAATGTAATTCAAACAATATGATAAGCAACTTATTCAAAAATACCCCAAAAACAAAAACAAAAACAGTGCATTTAAACTTGATGAGTACTATACTGTACAGCATAGAACTTTATACTAAAACTGTTATGCCCTTTACAAAGTTGACATGTGCAGCGATTCTGAGCTTTTGATAATAATTAGAGCTTACTCTGCCAGTCACCACTTATGACACTTTTTTGTTGGATTATTTTTTCTCCTTCTAAAATAGGCCATTTCATTCTTCATGGTAGAAGATAATAATAATGATGATGATGATGATGATGATAATAATAGTAATAATAATAATAATAATAACAACAACAATATAACTAATAAAAAACCTCAGATGTAATTGGGACAATTTTCTTCATTTTGGAGTACAGTACAGTAAATTCTGGTGTCAGTTATGGAAGTTCCAGTGTTAGCCCTGACAATTATCAGTTTTTCTTGTATTATACAGGAGAGAAACATTTGGAGTACAAAAGACATAATGGGGACATTTGTGACCCATGAAATCACCTAATTTTGATTTTAATCCAACTACTGTATACACAGATAATTGTAGTTTTCAATAAAATACAACCCATCATTTAGTACTGCACTTGAGATATACTTCTCCTTTCAACTATTGAATTAAGTTTTATTTTGAAGTACAGTACATCACTCAAGTTTGTCTGCTTGCTGCTGTAATTCTTTTGTTCATCACTCTCATCCACGTCTCCTTTTTACCGATACCCTAACTTCACCAAAACAAATAAATCCAACAGTAAGTGGTGAATGATGAAATAAGTTCCATTAAAAACAACGCTAACATTATTTGCCTCTTCCGTATTTGTGGTGGGACATAATAATGCAGTGCAAACTTGACATTATTTTTTTTTAATAGAAGCATTTGTATATACTGCTAGCAATTCTTTATACAGTACTTAAAATGTAAATTAAAATGTGATAATCAGGCAAAAGAAACTAACAAAACAGATATAATGCAATAAAATACTGTAGATTGTTTAAGCAAAACTTTCTCCCAAAGAATTTTGTTTAGATTCAATTTCAAAATTTAAAATTACAATTTATTGCAATTGTGTGCATGTGTGGACAGTACTGGTAATATATATATATATATATATACCTGGCATATATATATACTTGAATGATTGCGTACCCATGAATACATGTAATTATAAGTATTAGCAAGTATGTGTGCATGTGTGTGTGTGCAAGTTTGTGCCAGAGTCGTAGTGCGTGTCTCAAGAGCACAGGGTGAGTATCGCCATTGGTGCCCCTCCCCCTTATTTCCGCTCGCAAATTTACATTCTCGATAGTTAGATAATAGATAGACAGATGTGAAACAAATACTAACTTGCTGTTGGTGGTAATTAATAATTGGAATAGTCTGATGTCAGCCAGATTAATATGGATAAGTGATTGCAGTCACCTAAGGGTTTCAACTACTTTACTGTTTATTACAGGCATATGGTACACAAAAACTGAGAGCCAGAGTTTATTAAAAAAAACAATCTTTATTTCATTGAACTACGGTTAAAAAAAGGCATTATTAGCTACACATCAAGCTATATAAATCTATACATATGAAAAATATACAATGATTTAAGCAAACATTGAAAAGAGGTGTTAGTAGACTACAACTCAAGCTATGCTGAATGTTACAAATAAACTTTGCGTGCTTTGATTTCAACAAACTTATCTATGATGGCGTCAGCATTAACACTTTAAAAATGACTTTTCAGAGGGAAGGGAGAGGTTTGAAAGGTGCTGTTTATAGATGATCTTAGATGGTTTTTAATTAATTTTTAGCTCGCTAAATGTTGACTAACAAGAAGCCACTGAGACTGCCACAGTTAGCATCAAAACAAGAGCTATGCAAAAATCAGGGAAAATATCTTTGCCGTCCATGATAATGACTTGTACAAATTCTCTAGTATCTTTTGGCACTACAATATGACTCTCTTGGTGATTCATAAGCCGCATGTGACAATCTATTACATCCTGATACGAGTGAATCTGCTGCAACGTCAGACAAATAAAAGCTTGCAAAATTTTGGTAACATTCTTTTTTCCGAGTTGGATTAAGACTAGAGCTGAATATATAATTCATGTTCAGCAAATTTCCAAATCTATTATGAGTCATGCAATTGGGTACACCTGCTTCTAATTTCCTCCTTCTATCTGTCAGTTACCACACGCAACACAGAACTTAGTTCTTGCTGCAGAGAGAAACCTAATCTTCCACATTTTCTCCAGGCATCAGTTTCTCCTTTCTAATTCTATGCTCTACAGTACTTTTATATCATAGACTTTGTAACTTAAAGACCAGCTGCAACAGCCTCTTCAACTAATCCTTCTCGATTCTCTTCTATAAATATGCAAAGATTTTCCGTCACTTGCAGCTCTTTCAATGTTCATCTGTGGATCTTGGAGTCTTTTTTATCTTTTTTTCGTACAATATTTAGTCTCCCAATTATCCGACTGTACTCCAAAATGGAAGCAGAACTACAAAGAGAAAGGTCAAGAGATTGTTCCTCAAGCATTCAACGTTGCTCCTCATCTCCATATTCTCTAGAGCATCACCATTCATTTCTCCAAGTATCTCGACTAGACGATTAAAATCCTGACAAATCACTTGTACAGGGTCTTCTCTTGCATTCCATTGTGTCTTAGCTTAGCTGTAAAATTTTCTTCGTTATAACACGATGAAGGAAGATTAAAATTACAGTAGATACCTTTCTTTCAAAGAAGGTAATGGTAAAATGCTCCAAGACAAGGATGGCACCGTTTTAAAAGTCAGGTACTGAGTGCATTTTGAGTTGCCTAACACCCCCATGTGATACACACACACACACCGAGAGGAATATGTGTAAATAATAGACATGGTACTTTTTTCTTCTTTAAAAATTGCCCGATTCATTCTCATGTTTATGATTAGTACAACTTCACCTAGATTTGTATCCTTGGTTTTTAGTATAAACGTAATCATCTGAAATATACACACGTCGTTTGTAACTATTATGTTTTTTCCCAAGTTTTTATTTAGAGTGAGCATGATAAAGAAGCTGCATTAAAACATGGCATCATTATTCTAATTAAAATTAGCTTTATATTATGAGCACATAAAACACTGGACGAAGTAGAAAAGCAGCTAAATAATGTTACTGATAATGCTGAGGCTTTACTTTAAAAGATTATGGGAAAATACAGTATGATGGTACACCACGGTAAACACAGTCATCTGTACGCCCCTCCTCCTTCCCCAGACCTATGTCCAGGGACAATGGCCCCCTACCTCCCCCTTGCTATGACACTGGTTTGTGCACATGTGTTACTGTATGAATGTGTTTGTGTATTTCAATCTGGGTTAATGTTTATGTGTGCACATGTGTGTGGAGGTGGATGGTATCGGTGTCACTGAAGGTGCGGATTAGTATTTGTGGGCATGTTAAATTTGGTATTATTGCATAACACATTTACTTTAGTCTAGCCCCAGTTGCAATCCAGAATTACATTCCATATACAGTACTATATAACACATATTAAGTTAATGAACAGCCAATCCAGTGATCACCCTGTAATCATGCCACATATGCATGAGCTACAATATTCTCAAGGCCTGTAAACACAACAGAAAGACCTATAACTACACAGTAATGAAAACATCATCAATCTATAAAATTCAACCAGAGCACTTCATAACCTAACACTATATAGCAGTACTCCTTGACAGCCATAATTCATTATATTGGTCAAAGATGCAAATTATCAATGCTTTTTGGTTTTACCTAATGCAACCAAAATAGTGATAACAAGAACACAAATACAGTACATGGATAGATATGAAATATTGTATAATACATTGCCAATTGATGTGAAGTTATGAAATTTTACTAGAATACCCATTAAAAACTGTCAAGGAATCCTGAAAATCACAGTTATTTTGAATCTACACAAAAATATTTTACAAATGAAATATGGTAAAAAAAATTATACTTGGTAAAAATTTATAAAAGAACAGCATAAATGTTTATAAACTTAAAACATGAGTGTCTCAATTAGCAACTTGTAGTTAAGATCCTAACAAAATTGCATGTCTGTGGTTTAACCACAACTGGCATTCTGAAGTAAACAAGGAGAGATGTTACAAGCAAAGGGTGGCATGAATAGCACTTTTGCTTGGCTCTGACTCTTCACCAGTAAAGTAGGAACCTAATATCCATGCTCAAAAGGATTACTTGTTAGTTACATCACATATCTAAGTACTGTAACTTAATTTTCAAAATGCTAATCAGTTTTTTTTTTGTTCAGAAATTCTAACTTTTTTTTAATACTAACTTCAAGCACACTATTTTTGAGTGACAATTTAAGCCAAATTTCTACAGGCAGCATTGAATACTTGTATTTAGAGCCTCAGAAGGAATATGTGATAACTGAAACATTATATGGTATGTTTATACTGCTTGCTCCTACAGCTGACTTCTCTTTGTTAATAAGTTCCCTTGAAAAATTCAAAGACATATTGATGATAATAATAACAATAATAATAATAATAATAATAGTAATAATAATACAGGGTAATAATAATAATAATAATAAAAAGCATTATCAAACTAGGTCAAGGCACACACTGTCCTAGATCGTAAGTAAACTGTACTGCAGAAAAAGTGCCATCTAATGTATTTTATTTAGATATAAAAACCTACCGTATACAGAATAATGAATAAGGGGATTACTTAAATTGAAGTCAACTGTAGAGGAGGACAAGATTGTCATCTCAAGCTTTTTGAGAAACATACACTAATACTGAGTTGCAGTAACACTGTCATCATGCATCATGTGTAATGAATAATAGGGGAATATGACTTAGTTACAAGCAACCAAACCCTTGCCACAAATCTGCTGCTTCCTAGGCAGAAAACTCTTGGCTCAAGCTTAAATAACACCCTTTGACAATTAAGCTGCAGCAACATTGTGAGCATAATCCACACGAACTCTTTTTTATTTTTTATGCAGTTTGCTTGCCCTGCTACCTAGGCACTCAAATGACTATTTTTTCTATAATGAATCTAAGAATATTATTTGCCAAGAACACAGGAGTACAATCTGCGCACTCATAAATTTTATCCCTGCTAATGGTACATCTCACTGTCAGAAATAAAACAAATACCTATATGAATCCTATGTACAAATTATTATTAAATTGCTCTTCATAGAATTTAACCATGTTAGCTGCTAATCCTATCAGCCATCTGATTTCTATTCACAATAATCTCTCATAAATAACAACCTACATGAAATATTCCATTCTAACATGGACTGAAATCTGAGGCCCCACTTTGAGGCAAGTAAATGTTTGCATGATCATACACTAGTTCTACTAAGACTAGTAACCATGACATTACTAGCATTTCTCATGCCTGTCGTTATCTTGGTACTGTCAAATGTGATGTAAATTGCCAAGTAGAACCAGTGTACAGAATCAAAACTGTAGACCAAAACACTTTCAAGTAAGAAACATCTACCCCCAAAAATGTATGAAAAGGACAATTTGTTTTGTTATATAGGCAAAGCCACTGCAAAAGCATAGCTCATTTTTACCTTCTTTTAGACTGATATATTGATACAGTCATTAGGAAACTATTTTTACGGTTTTAATAAAAACTCGAAGAGCTACTTTCAAGGAAGTTTCACTGGAGTATAAAGAGGGTAACTTTATACAATAGCTACATTACACTGGTATGGTACCAATGTATATTCACTGTATATGAAACTTCTATTCTAAACATAACATGATCACAAATATTCCATAAAATGGGAGGAACATCAAAATTAAATTCCCAAAAAATTTTCACAGACAAGGAATGTACTGTACTGTATTGATATCCAATTTAGGGAAATAATTATATAATTAATGTGATTTTGGTTTAAATACTATTACTTTTGCTTAACCGTACCAAATATAACCAAAACAATCTATATGTTCATCATAATTTTCTTCCTGGTATAGATGGAGGATTGATCCTGAATTTCTATATTCTAGTAGGGTCCATAGTCAGGTGGCTTTCAATGCACAGGCCACTTACTGAGATCAGGGTCTTCCTACTGTTCCCCATAATGAACGACATGATTGTTACAGGGAGGGTTAACACATCAACCCTGGCTTATATTATGGAGACCCTAATCTGCAAGTACTCAGCCTGTATTTCAAGAGCTGCCTGGCTTAAGACCATATGCTAGAGTGTAAACTTATGAGAATGGCATTAAAATTTTACCTCATCCTACATGTAGTTATAACAGATAGTATAATATCTGTACAATAACTATCCTGATCACCAGTGAGAAGGCTGAGTCCTACTGCACTGCCTATAGTTGATAACAAAATTTATGGTAAATAAATTCTTGATTCATTAGGCTGTGCACCTTATAACCGCAATTTGTGATACCATTAACTATCAGTATCAAATTGTGATTGTTTAGTTTAATAGCATGATACAGAGGTGGTTGCTCAGCTCTTAATAAACTGTGATCCACATCTGGTTTGCTTACTTGTGGTGGGAATGTCATTAAGAATAAATAGGTAATGAGTCTCTTAGGCTTCCTATTTATTCTTTAAAATTCACCTGACTCAAAAACTCAAAAAAGAGGGTTTTTTGGCTATTTTGTTGAGAGGATAAGTATCTAATAGATATAAGAAAGGTTCCAAATACTATTCTTCGAACATACTGAGGGTTATCAGTTTGACTGATACCCCCCACAGTTTATGTTGAAGCTTAATCCTGATATTTCAAAAACATATACCCCTGTATTACCAATTTATTAACACTTATATCCATGACCTTCAGATCTTCATTTGCTTTGTCAATAAAACCCCCACTGTAATAAGCCTGTTTCACATTCTTTAAGGTTCCGAGTATTCCCACCAGTCCTTCTCATAACCTTCGTGGACGTGTTCTAGTAATTTTCTACGGCGTTGATCACAGTACCTAAGGATACGGAGAATGGATTAAAATTATGTAGCATATACTGTTCTTTGTTCAAGATCCCACAGCCCCATCCTTACAATAATAATTGGGTTAAAAATATTCATACATCTGAAGCATCTAAAGAAGCTGTTACTATACTCAAAATTGCCTTCTATGACAAATAACTGGCTGTTATTATGAAGAAAAAAGATTAAAAATGATAAAGCACAAAAATTAAGTTAAAATCTGTACTCAAGACTAAAATGCAAACATTTATGCAATAAAGCATCAGTAATTTGCCTGTCAATACTTAGGAAACCTGGGAAAGTTTAACCTGATTAGAAAATTTTCAAAAAATTTGGTAATTCTGCTACAATAAAACTTTGCCAATGCTTTATTCTGATATAATGATCACCTCATTGTAATCACATGGTTTTTATGGATGAACTCTGGATAAATTTGGGATAGGTTTGATAATTCCAAATGATCTTACAAATTTATCTGATACATATTCTAATCACCCAACATGTAAAGTCGGAGCAAAAAATTCAAATCGTGTGCCCCTTGGAGTCACCTGGGGAGGCCATCTTGGAGAAATACTCCAGGGATGTATTCTTGTTCACCGATCATAACAAACACCCCCCTCCCTCCCCATCCCTTGTGGAGAGCCCTGACTGCCCTTCCTTAAGGCAATAGCTCGTGTCATTCAGTTCCTTTCCTTGAATTCACAGCTGAGGGTGGTGGTAAGCTTATTTAAGTGTTACACCAGCGATGGTGGCATTGTTGCCAAGTAAGACTCATTACTAGCCACATCCCCCTAACCTTCTCCCTACCAGGCTGAGGTGTGAGCTATGTTATGCTTATTTTTAAACTCTTAATTGTGGGTAGATACACAGTAGAGTTCAAATTTATTAATTTTTTTTTACTCCGTTACATGCACACACATTCATCCTTAATACATAATATGCAAAAAAAGTAAAAGAAATAACTATAAGGTAAAAGAAAAAAAAAATTTGTGCATGAGAAATAGCACATTGTCTTGCTTCAAACTGACCCTAGGTCTCAGTTGCAAGTTTTGAGTGAAAAAAATATAGCTAGTCAAGTTAGGGTAAATTTGTTGGTTAATCTGAGTCTACCTACTCTAGGCTCAAGACGACAGCATCCGCAGGCGAGTACAATATATTATACGTGTACAGTGGTGTTTTAAATAAATATGGCTCCATGCAACATGCGGCATTTCAAATCAGGAAAATGTTCTTCAGTGCAGAGTGGAAAATTCCACTATCTCCTCTGTGACACAACTCCCCATCATTATACAGTGTCAAATTATTTTGTTTAAGGATCTTTTATTGAAACAGTCTTGTATAGAATTTATTCAGGATCACTATGGTATCAAATTAATCTTTCAAACCCAATAAGAACAGATATTGTAAATAAAAGTTCATAAATTTTTTCACTAGCCGCAAATATTTTCGCTAATTCCTGCGGTCTAAATGTAATGGGAGAGTGTTTGTCCATGTCAGTTTAGACTCTATTACTCTTAGAAAAGTTTCCCCAGCACCAAGAAACATTCCGAGGATGTGGGCTAGTGTCTGTTTGAACAAGATATGTACAGTCTCTCCTTGACTTACGACAACCCGGACATACGATCACCATGGTCGTATAAAATATTTTTCACATTACGTATTTTCGAGTCCCAATGTTTGGTCGTAATGTGACGCCATATGACAGCTTGGGCTTGGCCACCTCGTGGTGTACAGCATCCACGTCGTAGCCCACTCAGTTGGTGTTTGGCCGTCATTGTTGTTGTTATTAGTGATCGCGCTGTGTACTGACAAAATTTTCGTCTGTAATTCCCTTTAAAATGGCTGGAAAGCGTAAAAGTGAGAGTTCTCGTGGAGCTGAGAAGAAAAAGAGACAGTCAATTACTTTTGAAATGAAAATGAAAATAATAATGCAATATGAAAATGGAAAAACAGTAGCAACCATTTCATGCGACCTTGGCTTCTTTCACTCGACAATATCAAAAATTTTGAAGGACAAGGAACGAATTCGAGAGGCAGTGAAAGGATTAGCACCTATAAAGGGAACAATAATAAAAAAAAAAAGACAAGATCCTTTTCATGAGATGGAGAAATTACTTGTGATATGGATGGAAGATCAGCTGCAAAAGCGTGTACCCTTAAGCCTTCTAACCATACAGGCTAAGGCAAGAAGCTTTTTCGAAAGCCTGAAAGAGCAGGCAGGAGATGAGTGTGACCAAAACTTCACAGCAAGTTATGGGTGGTTCCAAAGGTTAAAGAAATGTTACAATTTGCACAGTGTAAAGGTGAGTGGAGAGGCAGCAAGTGCTGATGTGGGTGCCGCTTAAGCTTTTATGGAGGAGCTAGATCATGTCATCGTGGAGGGAAATTATTTGCCCGAGCAAATATTAATGTGGATGAAACTGGCTTATTCTGGAAGCGCATGCCAGAACGGACATACATCCACAAAGAGGCGAAGACCATGCCAGGATTCAAGGACCGAATCACACTTCGGTTGGGGGGGGAATGTAGCCGGTTTCAAGGTAAAACCCTTCATGATATATAATTCAGAAAACCCAAGGGCTTTTGAAAATGTCAGCAAGCACACACTGCCAGTGTTTTATCGCAGTAATAAGAAAGCATGGATGACCCTAGCACTGTTTGAGGATTGGTTCCTGAGTTGTTTCATTCCACGAGCCAAGGAGTATTGTCTGCAACAAGGGGTTGCGTTCAAGATTTTATTAATTTCAGATAATGCTCCGGGACACCCACCACTCGTGGACGACCTGCACCCTGATGTTAAGGTAGTCTACCTTCCACCTAACACTACCTCTATCATCCAACCCATGGATCAAGGTGCTATTGCTGCCTTTAAAGCCTATTATTTACGTACGACCTTCGCTCAGGCTATTGCTGCTACTGAAGGTGAGAAAACGCTCAGAGAGTTGTGGAAGGACTGCAACATTTTGCAATGTACAAAGAACATAGCTTCAGCATGGGATGAGGTTACATGTCAGTGCATGAATGGAATATGGAAGAAGGTCCTGAAAAGATATGTGAACAGTTTCAAAGGATTGAATGAAGATGAAGCAATTTCTGAGATTAGTAACAAGATAGTGCAGATGAGTAAACAGCTGGAGTTAGAAATTGATAATGAAGATGTTGAGCAGTTGGTGGAAAGTGTAGCAGAAGAGCTAAGTAACGAGGATCTTACTGAACTGGATGCACAGAAAATTGCAGAGGAAGAAGAGACAAAATGTAAAAGAAGAACCTGCACCCGCCAAAAAGTTTTCAGTGAAACAAATGGCAAAGGCATTTGCTACTATTAATAAGGGGATGCAAATGTTTGAAGAAATGGATCAAAATGTTGAGCGTTTTGCAAAAGTTGACAGACTGATCCAAGATGCACTTGCTTGCTACAGGGATATTTACAATGAAAAGAAAAGGCAAACTGTGCAGTCTAAATTGGACATATTTTTTAAGAAGTCACCCACTGCTGTCTCTTCACTCCCTAAAGATGATCCAATACCTTCAACAAGCAAGTATGTTAGCCTGTGTGAAGAAAGCGAACTTGATGACCCTCCCAGCCATGTCTCCTCCTCTGTTTCATCCAATTAATGTAATCTCCAGGCTTAATTAAAAAATTATTGAGGCCCCGTGTGCATTCAGCTGACTACATTAAAGGTAAGTGCACAGTAACACTGTATTCACTTTTTATTATTGATTACTTTTACTGTACTGTATTTCATTTTAGAATTTCTATGTATTATTTTTGCCTTTTCGACTTACGACCTGGTCATCGGGACGGAACCCCGTCGTAAGTCGAGGAGAGACTGTAGCGGGATTTTTCTGGGTTTGAGAGAATCATCTTGTTACCCAGAAATCTCTCATCCCTGGAAGAGCTGTATACCATTTAGCAATAAAGACACTTAGCATTTTTTTTCAAAACCATCCTTCACTCCTAACAAACACAAGAGAGAGAAAAAGAAAAGAAAAAGTTAAACTTGTTTAACTTGTGATGGATGTAACAAAAGCTGAACTTACCTGTATTTATCTTGAACTTTTTGTTTTATATCTGCCAAATTTTCTTGAGTTATGTCACGTTCTAGATATTCACTGAGAGTTTCAGTAGCACTTTCAACATCTTTCTGGTTATCCTCAAATATCACTGACTGGTTATTCTTCCGAAGGTAATATGCAAATACGTATGTGAACATTAATGTTTGCCGACATTCACATAAAATGTCAACAGCCTTTTTGAGGAACTGAACCTGTAATGATAAAAATAGTGGGATAGATAATCTCAACACAGGTTGACTATAAAGTCTGTTGTTGATATAGTCTTTTTGACTGAAGATGACGTTGACAAAAGGATTTGAATTTAAAGATCCGAAAGATGAAATGTTATTTGGTGATTACTGTATGAAAATTAAGGCCTTTCAATAATGTTCATTCACATGAAACTGTCTTAGAGCATTATTAAGTTCTCTTAAGTTTGAATATAATGCCTCAATTTAAACCATTCTCAGTGACTGCTTTGTGTCAAGATAATACAGTAACTGGGAGTCTTGGCATGTGTTCCTATAATACAGTACAGTATATAAAACAGAGAAGGTTTAGACATCCTATATATATACTGTACCTCAATCCAAGACATGTTGTGTTGTTGCATCTCCTCCATCTTCTCTTTAACAGAAGCATACAATTTATGTTCAAATTTTAATGACTGCATGTGGTTCATGTAACGATTACAGTAGAACAAGTAACGTTGAAGAGCAGCACGAGACTTCTCCTGAGCATCCCGGGCCTGTTTTGCTTCATCTTCATCATAACGATTGCACGAGTACCTGTCAAAGTGATGGATAATAAGCAACCGAGTCACAAAATAAAAGAGAATATAATACCAAACCAGTAATTTTTTAGATTTACCTTGACATCAGAAAATTAATAATTTCACTTAACTGTTTATAATACTGTACTACTTAATTAAATATTCAAGCTATGTATTTCACAGTTAACCTGAAAAAGATGATATACAGTGATCCCACGGTTAATGAGTGCCTCGGTTAACGAATTACCTTCCATACGATTCTTCACTTCGGTTAACGAGCAATCCCTGGATTAACGAATTCCTTACGAGCGCCCCTCAACATGTTTTCGCTTGCTCACTAGCTGTCGTATTAGTCCGCCAATACAGTAATCGGTTCTAGGGCTTAAATTCCTTACCATTCTAGTAAATATCAAGAAGGTTGTACATTCAATAATTTTAAAAGTTTTATATTAATTTTTTTAGTCACTTTAACAATTATTGAACATAATTGAAGTACAGGAAACTAGTTTTATGCGCGCCAAACAGCCACTCAACACACCAAGCTTGGTGTCAGTTTGTTTACAGGTTCAGAGGAAGGAACATCTTGTTTGAGACTCTTCAACATAAACGCTTTTTTTCTGTGTTTCCAGTCAAATTATTGGTCATTTTGAAATATATTTTACATATTGATAATATATAGCGCAGTGCAGTGTTGATTTAAAGAAAATAATCTTGAATTACACCAGGTGAACTAAAATTTTATGGGTGAAATGGCGGCATGGGGTGACTTCTCTTCCAACCAGGAGCCCTACATACACATCTCAAAGTAAGTGTACTTTACTGCATTTATTTTTCGTTTGTATGTAATTTTCGGTGAGCTGGAACCAATTACCCAAAAACCCATTGAAACAATGGTTTTGGTTAACAAATTATTCGGTTAACGAGCTACCTTTTGGAACGAATTGTGCTCGTTAACCGAGGGACCACTGTACAGTAAAATCCCTATACCTAGGCCTCCAATAAGTCGGAATATGTGATAAGTTGTCACAACACCAGGTAACCGTTACATTTTCTGAGTACAGTACAGCAGTTGGCAAATTGGAGCTAAATCGGCAGCACCTGAGTCTCCCGCAAGAACTCGTCAAGCCGACCCACACGTGGCAACCCGAGTCGGCCCAGGGAGCGTCAGTTTACGTGCGCCTCTTGTCAATGATAGACCTCAGCTCGTCCAAGTTGATCTACACAGCAATTACTTCACCTTTTTGTGGATTTAAGAAGCATGTCTGCCCTGCAATGCACTCTACCACCAGGATGGTGTCTTCATACATATCAGGTGTGAGTAGTTTAAAATCTCCTCCTCCACCTTCTATGACATCAAGAAGAGAAAGGAAAAGGTTTGTGCCTTCAGCAAGAAGATATGGGGAACTTGTTCAAGTCTAAGAAAAGGATGAAGCAACCAAAGTATGAGAAGCTAGAGAAGGCTGTCTTCAAGTGGCACAAACAGGAGAGGTCTGTAGGCATACCCATTATAGATGTGGACATACAAAATGCTGCTTCTCGTTTTGCTAGGCACCTTAGCATTCAAGATTTCAAGGTAAGTGCTGGCTGGCACAAAAAAAAATCAGAAATTGGCACTGATTACATGAAAGGAAGTTGTTGGTGAAGTGCTCAGTGCCGATCTTGGCAGTATCCAGCCATTCAGGGAGTCCCTCGCTGCTCTCATTAACGACAGTGGCCTGTTACTAGCCCAGGCGCACAATGGGGATGAGACAGGCCTTTATTGGAAGTCTGTCCCTACAGACACCCAGGCAGAAGAGTGCGGCTACTGCTCCAGGCCGCAAAATATTCAAGGAGCGTCTGTCTGTTCTTCTCAGTGCAAATAGAGAAGGGAGTCATCACTGCAAGCCGATAGTTGTGGGGAAGTCCAAGAACCCATGAGCCATCAATAACATCATGGACAAGCTTCCTTTCCACTACAGTGCCAAAAAAAAGTGCATGGTTCACCAGCAGGAGGGGGAGCATTACTAAGGGTTGGAAGGGGGAGTCCCCAGCCGAGCAGGGTTGCTATGATGAGACTTGAGGGAGGCCATGCGTGACACAACCAGCCTCTACGCACATGGCCTCCACAACATCATGTTTAAACGAATTTGGTGGAGGTATGTGTATTAGTGAGCTACTTTGAACTTTGGTTTTGGAGTGGTTTTGGTGTGGGAGAGGGAGGGGGGGGGGTGGATTTAGGGGGTCCTCCTGACACATCCCTTATCTCCTCATCTTACAGTATAATGGGTTTGCTCTACACAGCACTTTCTGTACAGATACTGTTAAGTGTTATGTACAAATTGTAGGCTTAAGTTTATCAGAACAATTATTTATAGTGCCTGTAAAGTGTTACTGTTATGTATAAAGTGTACAATACATGTAGTATTAAGTTTGTCAGTATAGCAATGTTCCTTTGCTGTCCAATCCTTTTCCTATACAGCACCCAGATTGTAACTATCAGTTGCCTGCACCCATGAAGCAGTTGACTTCTGTGGAGGAATTTAAAAAACAACAAGATCTTTCTTTGAAAGCTTATGATCCTGAACAGGGTACAGTGACGGAGAATTACAGTGTTTAGGAAGTATGAAGAGTATTAAAACTTAAAGGTACACGAGTGGTGGAAGTTGAACCGTCACTTTTTGTGATCTTTTATTTAGTACAATATTTCGTTTTATTCCCAAGTTTTTGACTTTGTAGTGTTTCGAGCGCTAGTGAATACTTTAGAAGACCTGATACTTTTGAGAAACAAAAGACCAGCTATTATTATTAGTGTATAGTGCCTTTGAAATGTTGCACATGATAAAGCCTACAGTGCAGTACAGCTTATCTGCCTTTTACAAGCTCATCAAGAAATCACCTCGGTAGTGGGGCGGATAAAGGAATAATTGCGCAATTTGTGACAGAAGCATGAACTTGGCATAAATATATTAATTACTTTTTTATATGGAACCCATCTTGCCTGTCCCCTAAGTGGCCATAGCCAACACTAAATGCTTTCCACTGTCTTGTGTAAGAGAGAACACCATGTAACACCGTTATATATAGGAAAACCTTCAAGAATTGTTGCAAAGACCATTAAAGAGGGTACAGATAAATGTAATAAGACTCCTTCTGAACTAACTGAGTATTTATTATACTTTTGTTTGCCTCAGGTGAGCAAATAATAGGGGAAGTTAGGTGCAGTACTAATGTATGTGTCACAAGCAGTGAAAATTTATTTTATTACATACTGGTACTGTACCTTCAAGTCTAATATTATATTTTTATTGTACTTTATTAGTCTCAAGCTCCAAACTAATACTTTTTCTTTAATAACAGGTGCATGATGAACATTGAACGATATTGTGTAGGGATGTGCATCTTATTTAACTGGTGGTGGGCAAAAACCATGAAACCTTGTTGATCAGATGAATGAAAGCAGCAGCAGCTGCTGCATGGCATGTGTTTGACTCTCCTATTTGCACCGTTTGTTCTGGAACCACTCTGAACAAGCCCCCCCCCTGGTGGTCATTGCCAAAACTTCTAGAAGACTAGAAACTTTTCCCCACTCTGTAGTGCGGGTATGTATAAATTATTCTGTTTTGTTCGAGTTCAAAACCTTTTATGAAGTGAAGTGTAACCGCATGAAGTCATCTTGTATTTGAATTGAAATTGGGATTAAAATTTGAGGGCTCAAGTGGACGATAAGTGGGAAATTTAGGTGCAATATACGATACAGTGTATGCATAACAATATATCATATAAAAAAAGAGCTGTCCAAAAGTTTCTATGCTCTGCATATCTCTGAAGTAAACCTGGAAGTGTAATTTAATACTGCTCTGCAATTTTATGTTAACATTTTCAATCTCCAAATTTAATCTGTATTTTTAATTACAGATGTACGCTGTAATTTAGTTGTCTTTAAACATAGTATCTATGACTTCATTTGTATAAGTTGTGCTGGACTAACTTTGATATGCCAGTAACCTAGCTGTTGCACTGCATGAGTTACACCTGACATGTATATGATATCCATGGCATCCTGAATTGGGTCCAAACAAAAAATGACCCATGGCATCGTGTATCTTGTGATATTTGTTTGGTTTTAGACTCGGCACTGCTTACATTGTGTATCTGAAATGTTATAATTTAATGAAAGCATGCATGCTTGCTTGTATATATTAGCCTTTTAATATTTTAGGGCTGCTACTGGTAATCATGGAGATGGTATTTTAATGCTTGATTTTCTTAGGTCTGTGGTGATCTTTCCATTTATCTGGGTAAAAAAATTACTAATATTCTTCACACCTTATTGCACTATCTGTTGGGTCTGCAAATGTGCAATATCCTCAGTAAATTATGTCCAAACAAGATAATGTTTTAAATGATCCCAAACATTTGATTCAGCTGGACTCATCAATGGTTCAGAGTCAAATACAGAACCATTAACTAGTAGTCAGCCCATTAATTAAAAGCTGTGTGTCCTTTGAGAGAGTAAAACCAGAAGTTGATATGATCTGTACATTTTAAGCGTGCAAATGACGCTGATGCTGGATATATATACTGAATATGTAGCTTCAAATATAAAACTTTCATGAAATCAATGAATTAGTTTTCAATATAGATGTTCCGTAGCTGGATGAAGGTGCGGGTATTGAAGCTACATTTTCTGCCAATGAAGCATGTTGGCACAAGTCATGTAGCGAGAAAATAAGCAACTTATGTCTAATGAGAAAACTCAAGCAAAAGGAAGAAATAGGTAATCCAAATCCAGTAAAGACACGTTGATCTACACGCCCAGCCCAGGTGGATGAAGAGATGTGCTAAGTCTGTGATAAACCTCTAAAGAGCAGCAAATTTCACCAAGCATTAACAAAAAGCATAGATTCAAGGTTCACTTATCTGCAACAGAGTTACAAGATACTGTACCAATCTATTGAGGAAACTTGCTGCAGGCGACAGGGTAGCTTTTGAAGCCGAGTAACACGTGAATTGTTTGAGAAGTTTCTACAATCATCATCGCTGACAGCAACTCCCTGGCTTGGATGCAGAAGAAAAATCATTGAGTGGAATAGCTTTCGCTGGACTAGTTGCTTACATAGAGATGTTACGTGGTGATCAAAGCCTCAGCCCCAGACTTCAACCCTACTGCTCTTGGGCAGCTATACCAGTTGCATCTTTTACAACCTGAAGTCAAATCATCTGATCGACTGCACACTACAAGGTTAAAGAATAAACTGTTGGCTGCAATTCTGGACCTGTTTGTGCATCCTCAAGGACGAAACATAGTGCTCATGTTTGACAAGAATGTCGGAAATACAATCAGATGGCATGTGATCATGACCATGATGAGGAGCCATTAACTCACAATAAAGCAGCACAGATAATAATAAGAGACGATGTCAATGAAAAATATCTTTGAGGGCAGATTCCAAGAAAATTGTCATGATGACTGTATTCCTTCATCTCTGAATTCACTGGTAAGCATGATATTAGAAGGACCATCAATTCTAGATCAACCAGACACAAACTCTGCTCAGAAGCGTGTAACCGGCTTTGAATGTTGTGAAATCAAGGCACCATGGGATGGTATCCTCCACCAGCCGACGCTGCAATGGAGACCATGAGACACCATCGCCTATCTACCTAGCATTGAAGATACACGTGGTATTAAGGATACGTTCACTAGTTAACATGTTACATACCAGGGGTTTCTGTATCTTATATGATTGAATGCTGGCAATCTCAACTGATGTAGCAAATAGTGTTCGTCAAGAATATGATGAAACAGGGATCGAGTGTTCACCAACATCATCTCCACGACTGGAGCTGCCAATTCCATCCATGACATGGGCATTTCCTTGATGCAATACCCTAAAACACCCAAGACAAATGCCTCCCATTGATGGAATGCTCTGCAAAAACAAAAAACTACCAAATTACCAGATTCATACAGCAATGTGCCTCCTGCCATTTTACAAAAAGACAATGTTGTGATCCCTGAAGCAGGCAGGAGGGCCGGTAACTCAAGAAATAGTAAATCTCCAAGAACAGTATTACCAATCAGTTTAATAATAATAATAAAAATAATACGTAGCCGGTCATTTGTTTCTCAAAAGTGGCAGTTCTTACAGAGAATTCACTAGTGCTCAAAACACTACAAAGCCAAAGACTTGAGAATAAAAAGTAAAACTGAAGTACTACAATATAAGATCATAAAAAGTGACAGTTTGACTTGGCTGACTGGATCAAGTACAGTGTGCCTGCTTTTATGCAAAGAACACTTGGAAAAGGGTGGTAATGTAATAAAACATTTAAGACAAAAATGACACAGCGTTCTGAGTTAACATTTTTTTTTGGCTGCTCTGGTGAATGATTCTTGACTTCTTAACACTTGATGACTTAAAATTGTTCATTATCTCCTTAAATATGCAAAAAACCTAACTTTTAACATCTAAAATTTGTTGGTTTTGCAAATTACACAATGCTATTAGCAAAATGCTTTTCCTATGCAAGTCATATTGCACAAGGACTCCACTGCCAAATATCAACTGATTGTGCAAATTTTAGGCTGTGTAAGATCCCACACCCTTGTATCCACCAGGGGACACTGTGCACTGAGTTTCATATCCCAAAAGGTTCACAGCAGGTTAGAGCAGGGGTTCTAAAACTTTTTTCAACCATGGACCCCTTATATACCATGACGCATACAAATATTGTCAATAATCAAAGAATAAATCATAGTCCAAAGCATTTGTTCATTTCAACCCAAATTCATAATACAGTGAACCCTCACTTTACGCGGTTAATTCAACCCACAGGGTACCGTGGAAAGTGAGAAACGCGTAAAGTGAACAACATAACATATGGGATTAATTGAAATAGAGACCGGGCTGACCCCCAAACTCCACTTTTTGACGACACACAACTATGTTGTAGTAAAAATAACTTCTTAATTTTATGATGGTATGCACACACAATTAATAATTAAGAGAAATATCAATAATATTAGGTTTTTTAACACTTACATTAGTAGAAAAGATGGCTGGGCACACGGGGATGGGGGTTGGTTCCGAGGCAGAGGGCAGATTATTGGCCCTCACCTGTATCACTATCCACCACAGAGGCTTGCAGGGCCTCTTTGTCAAACTCAAAGTCCATATAAGTCCATATCCTCACTATAATTATCACTATCACTGACTTGGGCGGCTGTGGTGGGTGGCGGGTGAAGAACTCGGTAATGTTTTGATGACTGGGCGACCTTGTGCGCACCCTGCGCGCCGCTCTCGCGTAAAGGGTACACACATGGAAAGTGAGCATTCCAGTTTCGGCAGGGTACCACGTAAACGTGGGCGCGTAAAGTGAAAATTAATGCGTATATGTATATATATATATATATATATATATATATATATATATATATATATATATATATATATATATATATATATATACATATTGAGAGAGAGAGAATTACCATGAAGATCCATGAGGCTCCCACGGCCCAAGGCAGACCCAGCAAAAATCTGCCTTACAACTTTGGTTCTTGCACACCATATGATTACATCCTCCATCCTTCTCAATTGTCACTTTACACTTTGGACATTCCTGAAATACAAAATAATCATTAGGGTATACGTATATCCTTTTAAAAGAAAGTCTGTCTTTTTAATAAGCTGAAAAAGTAATATCTCTGCACTTCTTAACAATATATTTTCATCTCCCTATTGCAGTCCTGGACTTATTGGTTCCAGGGAGCCTATGGACTAATTCAGATATGATGTTCCCATCAAACATTTTGGTACACACTGGCAAATCTCCACAAAACACTCAAAATAGGTTTCCTTGTGGAATATGCAGTCCACTTTGTCCTCCCTTGTCTCTTCTGGTTTACACTTACACATATTTCATCAATCTCACACAAAAAAACTTTTTTTATTGAACTTTCTAATATCCCTGCACACATTTTCAGCAGGTCCATTACATCTCAATCTTACTACTAGTTATTCAATGTTATATTCCTCTGTCCTTCCTCTTCAATGAGGAAGGAGGGACTAGTCTCCTTCCCCCGGTGTGGCTCATCAGATCAACAGATTTTAACATGCTTTGATGAAGGTGATTTCCACAAGGGAGGCCTCAGTTGGAATAAAAGTGTAATTCAACAAAAGCTGAATAAAGAAACCAAAGATTTTAAAGACTTTTATTGTAACACAGTATTTTGACGAATATAAGCCACACCCTTTTTCATTAAAGAAAAAAAAAAAAAAAGTGTAATTCAACAAAAGCTGAATTTTAAAGACTTTTATTGTAACACAGTATTTTGACGAATAAAAAAAAAAAAAAAAAAAAAAAAAAAAGAGGAGGAAATGGCTACTGTCAGAAACAAATTTTAGTAATGCCTCAAGAATACCCATAAGTATTACCGTAATTCCTTGTGGGCTCTACTGTAATACCACTTCTAACCGGCCCCAACCACCATAACTACCTCACCTTAAGTCAAAATGACCATCAGTACCACCATCACTGTGCATGTCATCTACCTGTGAGTTTGTTAATGAGAATGAAGTTCAGTGAACTGTACCTACTGTGCCCAAAACCCTCAAAGTAGTAATAAAACACTAAATCATATTTACTTCACCATAATTTTTGTACAAAACTCATACTGTGGCTTATATTTGTCAAAATACGGTAGTTTGGTATTCTGGAATGCAACCTCATTTTCATCATAGAAACAACTGATTTACAATCACCTGGGTCAGTAAGAATACAGCCTGTAGCTTGGACAGGAATTACTATCACTGTTATTCACAATCTACTAACTTACTTTTGTGTTTGCAGCAATCCAATTGGAGGTTTCCGAGTCATCATCACACTTCTTAATCCAGCGCCTAAGAAGGTGGCATTTGACAGGGTCATGCCAGTTTTCACCACAGTTGAAACAAAACACATTACGGCATTTGCACATAACAGGTCGAGCATCGGGGTATTGCACCTTGATGGCATAATTACAATCAGGGTATGGGCACCAGCGTAATAGTCGGTTACACTGTAATAAAAAAAAAAACACAAGAAATTAATTAATACAGTATACATAAGATACCAGAAAAAATTAAGCAAATGCATTATTATTTAGGGACTGTTATATAGCCACTGTAAAAAAAATAAGTTACACTAACAAGCACAAAGGAGTGAATTTTTTCCACCAAGAACTAATGTGGTACCTTGGTTATATCAATATAATCAATGTCTTTGTACTGGATGACTCTCTATGTCTCAACCTAATGTTTGGCAGAAAAAAAAATTGCCTTAGCTAGAGTACAGCTCAAACCATAAGGCCTAAAAAGAAGTTGATTATTAAGAGTTGGAATGCACCACTCAGCAAAAAAAAAAAGTAAAGCTATGAGAAAACTAGAAATAGCTGTGGATACGGAAGCCACTCATGTACAGAAAAAATGTCAATGAACTTGCACCCAGGTAACATGTGTAGATTTACAGCAAGGCTGGAGTACCTTAAAATATGTAAGTTGTAAAATAATACTTTATTTCTACCACTATAATGCATAAAAAAATTGGGTCAAAGCAAATACACAAGAATTGTACATTTACTATTCAGTTGAATGATTAAGTGAAAGTAGTCTGTAGGATCAGAATGGCATTTGTTAGAGTAAAAGGGTTATGAGGGTGCATTGAAATGAATAAAGGATTGAGGCAAGAACATAATTAAATTCTTATAATTTTTCTGTTTTGCTGTTTAAGAATCATTGAGAGAGAGAGGGTAGTCTGAGGTCAATGTTCAGGAATTGTAAGAGGCGGTGAAACTGAAGGTAAAAGTTAAAAGAATAGGGTAATTGGTTTTAACCCTTACACCCCGGGTGACGTATTAAGACACCCGACTGGCGCGCCCTGGGTGACGTACTAAGACGCATGCCTTTTCCCGCCACTGTTTCAACGCCCAGCGCGGGTCATCTGGGTCCAGTGTGACTATTTGCCTGCCACGCCACACGCTCGACCACAGGGAAGCTTCCTGAACATAATTACCTACTTTTGTTTGTTTCATTTCCATTGTATGTCCATTTTATCATGTTGTATCAAAGTAATATTGCTAAAAGTAGTGTACTGTAGTTGTATTGTAATGTAGTATTACTGAAAATAATTGCTATGATTATGTTATAAATGTACAGTATTTACTTGTGAAATTATTATTATTTTATTCATTACTTGCTCTACCAAACACAAAGACAACGTGGCGACTGACTGCGTTTGTGTGTGTTGCAAACACTTTTTATGAAAAATAATGCAAATAAATATTTTAAATTAATTATTTATAGCAAATAAGTATTATGATCAGTAAATATATGCATTACTAGTCATCTCGGACACAAAGGCAAGCTAAGTGTGTAGGTGACCACGAGCGACAGCTGTCAAAACAACACTGTCCTCTTATATCCCTCCTCCCTCCCTCAGCGCTGCCAGGGAAGTTTCTAGAGGGTCAATATATAGTTTTCCTTGCTTATTTTTTAATGTTTTATCATTTAAAAAGGTAAAAATTATTTTTGGAAAAGTTTTGATTTTTCTCGATTTTCCTCCTGGTGGGGGGTACTGCCAGCGGCATCCTAACCCGGGGCTTAAGGGTTAAAGAGGAATGAATATGATGCTGTGAATTCTGGTAAGCTGTAAAATTATGATGAAGAATGAAAAACTGGAGGAAGTTAATCATTTCAATTACAAGTAGCCCTCACTTATCACAAATTTATATATCACAGTTTTGATTTATCACAAATTAACTTTAAGGAATACACATTTGTTCCTTGCAACAAGTTTTTTTTTGCAATGGTATTGTAAGAGAATAAATTGAAACATGTGGGAGTTACAGTATCTGTACTTCCATCTGGGCAGCAATCAACAAGAACCTTCTAGATGCACAGAGGTACATTTTCACTCTATCAAATATCCCTTTGCTATGCAGAGTGGAAAATGATGGCAGTCAGTTAACACACCAGGGGCGGATCCAGGAGTTTATAAGGGTCGGATTTTGGGTGAACGGAAATAAAGTCAAAATTAAAAAAAAAACGGAACAGAAAATAGTCAAAATTTTTACAATGAAAAAGTTCACAATTTACTGAAATACCATTAACAAATAAAGTAATAAAACCAAATGCAGTTTAAGGCAATTGTTAACTGACAATACATGACTTCCACAGATTGATAAACCAAATATACAATATCATGGCATTATAGGCACTGAACTGGAAATGAAAATACTTGCATCTTATTAAATGTTTCAAACAACGTAAAATAATCAAACAAAGTTTGTCGTCATACTGCCCTGACAGCGAACACTGGATCTTTTCTCACATTTTCACCACAAATTAGTTGTGTGAGTGGCATGCATGGTATTAGTACAGTACTGTACATATACATAAACCCATTGTAGCAGATTTTGGAACCATGCTTATAACTGTCAATAATCTCAATGGCAGCAGGTGTAAATAATTTATGGTTACAATCTCATAATGACCTAACACAAGGTATACACAGTTCCTCTGTGATCTTGACATCACGACGGTCTTACATGAATCGGCCAGCCAGGCCCAACTGTCAGATGTTGCTAATCGTCTTTCCAATGACATTGTAATTCTCACACACAGGAACTGTCAGAGGTATCTGCTTACTGCATCTCAGTGGTGAGGCAAGGGAAGGATTCTTGGGTCACTGAGTGATGGCCAAAGTAAACCTCAGGTGACTGTCAGGTCAGCAACTGACTGACGTGGGAACTTTAAGAATCAAAACTTCATAAAAAAATGACATATTTCTGTTACTGGTCATGTATATATTAGATATCACACTTTACTCAATATGAAACAACTTGAGTAGAAAACAGCCAAAACACCGCAAACACATCTCGGCCAAAATTTGACCATCAACTATACAAGGTGAGGTAGGGGCTAGGGGGTGACTAGAAGGTACAGTACTATTAGGTGGATAGGGGGAAGGAGGTGGCTAAAAGACTTATACTAGGTGAGGTAGGGGCAAGAGATAGAATGAGTGGGTATGTTATCATATACAGTATCTCGCCTACCATCATGATATCTCCACTATATCCTGGTTTAGTGTGTTGCTTTTGTTAATTTATACTACCACCCATTTTTTCCTTGCCGACCTCTACTACACTCTAACATAACCTCCCTCGCTTGTACAGTATACTGTACTGTTAAAGAAAGGAAGATTATGACATGAATAATCTTCCGGATACTTGGTGGTGGATAATCTCATCCACTCTGTCCTCGTGAGAATTAGGAAAGCAATATTTCGTCCATCAGAACCTGGGGGAACTTAGGTTATTATTATTACATTTTCAGCACACCTTTTCTTGCCTTCAACACTTAATACTGTATCATGTTCAGAGTATTGGAATGAAATATAAAATTTATTTGTGATAATGCCATCACGCAAGAAGTAACTCTACTGGACACGATCCATAATGTGTTATTCCATCACAATCAACTGTCACATCTTTACCAATTATATTTGGGGATACAACAGTAAGTATATACTGTACCTTACATGATTTTGGAAAAATGTAAAAATATATTTTTATATTTGGATGAAAGTTGACAAATTTCAATCATGATAACAGTGGGTAGGACAACTGTATGTACTTGGTATGAGTGCCAATTCAATATGAATAGCAGAAAACTCACAAACCTATTGCAACATGTGTTACTTACCTCAACAAAACTCTTTGTTATGAGGTGTTGGTATTTGAGTTTAACTTTAGGATCTACAATAAGCCTCATTACAGTATGGTCATCAACTAGGATAGAGCAGGAGTGAGCAGCACAGGAGATTGTTTGACCCATGCCTTCATCTATGATCTTTGTAGTTAAGTATTCAGTCCAGCAACTTGTACAAAACCGGTGCCCACACTCTATACCCGTCATCATCTGAAAGCAAGGTTTTGATAAAATAAATTTCAATAAAAAAACAATGCATAATATTATGAAAACAATATTATAATAAAAATGAACAACTCATTTTGATTTGCTTAAAAAACATTGAAATAAAAAGTTAACATTCTGACAGCACTTCAACTTGAGGTATGCATGTACTGGACTCTTAGGATTCAGCCTTAAATAATGAAGAAGCTGTGAAAGATATTACAAAACTACAGCACAGTACTTGTACACTGTTTCCTCAAAAATAAACATACTTACAGCAGAAGGCATATTAAGGAAGCATATTTCACACTCTTCCATTCCATTACTGGTTTTAACAAGTACCTGTAATAAAAAAAATATATAAGTAATAAAAAAAAAACAATCTAGTTTGATACTAACAATATACAGTACACAACTAATCTAAGTTTTATATACTTGAACAAATCTAGAAGGTATATAAAATTACAGTATGACAGCAACTTTCTATCCATGGCTTTCTTACACTATGCACTCTTCCTGAATCTTGGGGACTTCCCTCCAAGGAGTCCCCCTTCCCCAGTACAGCACTCCTAGATGGACGGTGGTAGACAGCTAAGCCTTCACCTTTCTGATAAACTGAAGTTATCAACTGCTGCTCTCTGGGTCTCAGAGTAGTGGTATAAAAGAATTAACTATTTCAGGGATTAATTTTCAGGTTTGGTTAATTGAACAAACACGTCTGTTTAGTACAATCACACAAGCCTGGGGTCCAGGTTCTGTTTTTGCAGCCCCTTTGGAGTGCCCAAGATGTACCAGTACAGTACTTAGATTATAAAATAGTTTTAATATTGAAATATGACTGCATGATCTCTGCAAGGGATATGGGGGTTCTCTATTGGAATTACAGTGAGTCCTCGTTTAATGTTGCCCCCGACAACGTTGTTTCGTTATAACACCTCTACTCTTTAGATACCCATGATTCGGACAATGTCCCGCCGATTCGGTATAAAGTCATCACGGACTACTTTATACAGTGCGTCACCCTCTCTCACCCAGTCAGAGTGGGAGGAGGAGCCAATCTCCGGGTCTCAGTGACTCTCCACCCTCCCCCCCTCCACTACCCACCACACACTTGCTCCACCTCCACCCATCAGTGAGCACAATGCAAAATAATTTAGTTTTTTTTAGTTTTTTGGATGTATGTAATATATACTATTTTCTATAAAAATTCCATTGAATTTATGTAAAGTATGTGTAATGTATTTTATGGGGCAACGGGAGGCTGGGGAACGTAACTCCCGTACTTTATTTACTGTATTTCTTATGGGGAAAATTGATTCCGTTAACGTCGCGGTTTTCACGAACGGAACCACGACGTTAAGCGAGGACTTACTGTACTAAATATTTTACTTTCAATAAAATGTATACTGTACGTTATCATCCGGATCATTCTTGTTTTATATTATTTTTTGGTTGTCTTCTTTTGTGATCCAGCAGCATAGAAATATTTTGTTTTTCTAAATAATTAAACATTTTCAAAAGTGCCAGATTTCTGATAGAGCCAGATTACAGAGGTTTTACTGTATTTTTCTAGTATAAGAGGAGACGTATACACCAACACCAGCTCATATTTACCCTTTCTTAATACTGTATGTGGAAGATTACCTGATGACATGTTTTTATTTAATGGACACTTTATGTTTTGTTTTAAACTAAAAATAACCTTGGTAATAATGTTAAAAAATTTTGTTCACACAGGAGATGCACCGTGATCAAAATAATGAAACTGAGTGCAGCCACATGTCTGTTTACATAGGGCCAGGGGCTATATTACCATCTTCATAGTAAAGCTGGTTGTTCATGATTATTAATGGCCTACTTCACAATAAGTTTATACTGTAGCATATTTTTTTTTTATAAAATATAAACTTCATTGAGAAATAAACAAAAGCCTATCAATTACTTCTGGGGAGTGTGACATACTGTACTGGTAGATAGGATTCAAGGCTTCAGTAACTAATACCCTACAGGTATATACTTTGTAAAGAACATGTGTACAAAATAACAATAATTACATAATGAATATTATTTCTTACAGTAGCTATTGTACTTACTTTTGGGGATTTACTAGTTGCTTTGAATGGACTGACGACGTGAGCTTCTGAGAACAACTTTTCTTGGTCACCATCATAGAACCTCTCCATTAACTTTTCTTTGTCCCATTTAAAATGATTCAGTAATATTCTCGTTGTAGTAACAGGAATCTGTAAAATAATTGCCAGTAGTTTATATAAGCTTGATTGATCACCAAGTACACTGTACATCACATATAGTATGACAAGATTTAATAATACTGTACTAAGAGAGCCTTTAATCTTTTGAAATTGCCAACTCCTTTTATTTTCACAAAAGGAAACACAGTACAGAGAATCCTCATTGTATAGTAAACCCTTGTTATTTGTGGGTTTGTAATTCGTGGTTTCGACTATTCGCGGTACACAGGTGGTGGGTAGCTTACGAGCCAATCCCGCAGCGCAGTGAGTCACCCCCATGCGCCCGCAGTTTCTCCTTACCATTGTTTGTGCTCAACCATTGTTTGCAACGCAGCATCTCTTGTGTTGTGCGCAAAACTTTAGTGTTTCTGTGTGAAATGGCCCCTAAAAGGCTGCCTAGTGTCAGTGCAAGTAATGGTAGTGGAGAGAAACGTAAAAGGCAGAAGTCAGTGATGACCCTGACAAAGAAAGTGAATTATTAGATAAGTTAAAAGAGGGAATGAGTGATACTGTGGCTAGTCAGTTGTTTGGTATAGGTATACAGTAGTGCACTAAGGTAGTATACAGTTGCTATTCGCGGTTTTGTCTATTCCCGCCATCCCTTGCAACCCGATCCCCGCAAATAAAAAGGGTTTACTCAGAGCTGTTTATGTTAAGGCCGCTATATTATATCTGAATTTGTCTTATAAGTCATGTACAAACTCCCTAGGAAGTGATGTCACTGTGATATCTATTAACTTGATGAGTGGTAAGCGAGTGACTGGACGATGTTGTAGTAAGATGGTACTGTACAGTATACTGTACTGTATTAATGAACTCCTGAGCCAATTTCTTGCTGCCTAACATTTTTTTTGCATCATTCTCTCATATTTTTTCAGGAAAAGGCTTCAAGACCAGTAGCAATAATAAAAGAGCTATATCCCAATTCTTGAAAGAGGAAGAAGATGCGTGCAGGAAAAAAAGGACAGCCAGCCCGATGTGATACAGCAACACAAGCTAGTAATAACACTTCTAGGTGTAGAATATTCTGCATATGGCTTATTTCCTTGACTAGAAGTTGTTTTATTTTTAGAACAATATGGAATGTCATAATATCTCACTTCAAAATATACAATACAGTACTAAAATTTTAACTACTGTACATGATTTGTTCTTACAATAGTCTTATGAAAAACTGCTTTAGCATTTAATTATCAATTTCTGTTACTATTCCACCAAATTGCGTACTGCCTTGAAAAAATAAAAGCGTGTCTGGTAGTAGCTAGATACCACTTTCTGAATGAAAGTTTCTAGAAATCGTGACATCATACATTTATGTGATTGTACACTCGCTCCAAAAAGTATCTTTAAAGAGTGGTCTGATGAATTTCAAAATGAACACCGCGACTCCTGTTGTCTCAGTAATGTTGTCAAAATCCTTCATCCATTGGGTCATATCTCACACAAAATCGTGAGACACTGTATGTTTACATCACATTCTGGCTTGTAAATAAATGCAGCTACAGCATGCTTATGATAATATCCTAGTTAACCATATTCCAGTTTATCTCTACCAGCTGCAATTTTTCTTCTTGTCAATCTAATTCTATTACAGCACTGGGTTGTAAAAGTGAAAGAGAATCATACACAATGAGACTCACTACATCACCAGTAAAGGGATACCAAGAACAACCCACACAAGCAATCTCTCCCTCTATTTCTAAAAACAGTTGGGAATCTAAAGTTTGGCATAAATGTAGCCTAATGTTACAGAAAGACATGACATTATCCTCAGAACTATCAGGTACAGTATCACTTGACTCGTCGGTGGCGTTTAACGGTTTTCACTCAGTCACGCCATGGCACTCACTGTGTTTGTTGTGTTCAGCCTTAAAAACTATATCAAAGAATGTTGTTTTTCATGCCTAAATTATTCGTCCATGTTTGTGGAACAATTAATGGACATTTTAATAATACTTTTGCAGAAAAGGTTATCAAAACAATAAACAAAAACGAACTTACCCAAAAATTTCCTATAGTAGCTAGTACATACACACGAACATCGTATTGTATTTTTGTCATTCTATAGACAATGTGGTAAAGATTCCGAAAAGGCTAACCACGGAACTCTATATTGATTTGAATATTGGGAGACAGGAAGGAAAAAAGAAAACTCTCCAGTCTCCATACTCTCCAGTGTTTTTGTCGGAAATCGATATTTAGATTTTTCTACTTTCAATTTCACTTAAAACAAAAAGAGGTGATTTTGACCACACAAAGTGGGCAGAGCTTTGAAGTAGAGGCAGATTGTGGAGTAAAAAAACATGCAAAAAAAAAAAAAAAATTACAAAACAAAACCTAAATTATTACACAACTTTAAAGAACTCGTGCAATATTTAAAAACAGGTGTCTCAGTTAAGGAGCAAAGTTAGGAAACTTTTTCAATAGAACAATAGTTCTTCAGTTTATCAAGAAAATCCCCAAAATGGAGGAGGAAATAAATTTTTGCTAAATAAAAATATCGTCTAAAGCATAATGACTCTCAAATCCCTAACATAACCTAACCACAGAAACTAGAATAACCTGACCTAACCGTCTATCTCCTACTGGTGTGTAAAACTAACCCAACCAGACAAAAGAAAAAACAAAATCACCAAACCTGAAATTGAAGTAAAAAAACTCGATATATAAATTTCCGATGAAAGTGTTCTATCTCCGTAAATACAATTAAATAAAGAGATCCGTCGTTGACCTTTTCCGAATCTTAACCGACATTTCTTGTGTTTTGTGAACTACACTCCAGAGTACCACCACCATGAATTGGATTACAAGGGCATATGAGAGGGTTTATGGGTAATTTTGTATCTAATGGACATAGAATCAACGGTAAAGGTGTAGATAGCAGCTTCCACCAGAAGATGTTTGTCGATTTCTTTATTTTTGCTTTACTTATTTTATTTATATGATTTTAAGTATATATTAAAAGACACAACAACTTTCTATTATGATTTTATTTTTTATTTTATTTTTTTACCCCATCCCGCTTCACAATTCTCTTACTGGCGCCATTTTTGTTGTTTACCTAGCTGAATCCCTCTTCAAGAGACGCTTCCTATAAATGATGGTGAACGCTTCCACGTATTGCTCCTCGACATTGCTGATGTATATCTACCTCAATATTAAGGAAAGTTGTTAAACACATAAATTAACAGATAATGCATAGAACCTGACCTAACAAACCCAACCTATGGGTATGTTAGGTCAGGTTCTATTAGGTTCTATGCATTGTCGATTCCATTTTTGTGTTTACTATCATGATATGAGTGTGTAGAAAAAATTAAACCAATTTGGACAATTCCTTCTGGTGGTAGCCATTATCTATTCCTTTACCAAAATCAGCTGTCTGCCACTTTTGTTTGAGGATGAATTCATTGTTTCCATTTATAGAATATAACGTAGCAGTGACTTGACGCCTACCGGTATTAAACATAAGAACATACGAAAATAAGGAGTCTGCAATAGGCCGGTTGGCCTGTGCATGGCAGCTCCTGTCGAGAGTTACTACCACTCTCTATCATCCATGAATCTATCCAGCCTCCTTTTAAAACTTTCCAGCATTCCAGCACTTACTACAAAGTTGCTAAGCTTGTTCCACTCGTCCACCACCCTATTTGTGAACCAGTTCCTTCCTATCTCCCTCCTAAACCTAAACTTATCCAACTTAAATCCGTTGCTACGAGTCTTATCCTGCTCGGATATTATAAGAACTTTATCTATATCTCCTCTATTGATTCCTTTCACCCACTTAAATACTTCTATCATATCTCCCCACACTCTTCATCTTTCTAGGGAATGCAAGTTTAGTTTCTTTAACCTATCTTGATAAGGAAGGTTTCTAAGTCCCGGAATAATTTGCGTCATTCTTCGCTGCACCGACTCCAGTGAATTGATATCCATCTATCTATATATATAAAACAAAGAAGTATGTCTGTGTGTGTGTGTGTCCACACGAGAATCTCGGAAACTACTTTACCGATCTGTAGTGATGATGGATGGTGTTATATGTAGTGATGATGGATGGTGTTATATGTAGTGATGATGGATGTTGTTATATGTAGTGATGATGGGTGGTGTTACATGTAGTGATGATGGATAGTGTTATATGTAGTCATGATGGATGGTGTTATACGTAGTGATGATGGATGATGTTATATGTAGTGATGATGGGTGGTGTTATATGTAGTGATGATTAGACAATAAAATAATAGCAGTTTAACGCTAAAAAAATATACTTTTCTATACCGTTGTAGTGAAAAACATGGTGGAACTTACATACACCGTTAATGAACTATTGATGGAAGAAGAAGCTTTGGGGACTGAACAGTGAGACGATGTGGAGCCTCCCGGAGGGTGGCGTCTTACCGTGGCCTAGCGAATGAGCCTTATTTCAAACATTAACGCACTGTTTTCTAGGCCGTAGGTCCGGGCTTACAAGTACCCCTAAGTCTCTTTCACAAGTCAACTTCTCTAGGTTGATGTTGTTAAGGCTGTATACAATGACAGTATTTGTTCTTCCAATATTAAGTACGCTACACTTGCTGGTGTTGAATTTCATTTGTAATTTTTCTGAATACTCCTGCAGTTTATTTAAATCCTCTTGTAGTGCATTTGCATCCTGCCCTGAATTAATCTGCCACCCTATCTTGGTGTCATCTACAAACTTGCTTTGTCACTGCTGATCCCAGTATCTAGATCGTTTATGTTGATTATGAACAAGAGTGGGCCCAGTACTGACCCCTGGGGAACCCCACTGGTAACAAAGACCAGATTTAACACCATATACGCTGACCCTCTGTGTTCTATCTGTGAGCCATGATTTTATCCAATTTAAAACTTATCACACCATGATGTCTTTATGTTGAATTCTATTTTACAGAAAAACTTTACCAACACTCTGTAATACTCCCTACCTAAGAGTGCTAATTGCTATCATATAACTGGCTGTTCAAATCATCAAGTTTCAATTATTTACAGTCACTGGCAAAAGGATGCAGAACAAATATGAAAGACATGTTTTTGATCTCTCCCTCCACTTTTTATTACTAAAAATAATAATAATAATAATAATAATAAATAAACTTTTCATTGTTTTCCCATCCTGGCTGTATACACATTCCAACACAAACAAATAAATCAGTAAAGATTCTGTCAAGAAGCTCCAAGTCCCTTTATTTAACACCTTCACCATCACTTATAAGAACATTTCTTTATCTGAAACAATGTTAAAATATTTACATTTATGAGATATGGTTTTCAAACAAGTTAACTGGACTGTGAAATGCCAGAAAGGTAGTTTAAAAACCAACCTTACACCCTATGATATGTAAGGAGACGAGAGATGTTATGTCAGGGAGTGAGGAATATACATTTCTCACGACTGATACTCACATTAACTACACTATTAACCTCCTTAATACAGTCGATCATATGTCTAGTAATATCCTCTGTTGAAAGCACTTCATAAGGGTAATCTTCCGTATCTCTATACTTGCTGCTTCCTGATTCTGCATCACCCTCAATATCGAAGTCCAGCCCCACATCATCCCCACTAGACTCATTACCACTATCACAGTCATAAAGATACTCCTCATCTGAATCCATGACTCCCAACTCCGCCACTCCAGACACTCCAGAGGGGCTAAATGTTGTAATATACTGGAACTGTTTCACTCTCTCCTCTGTCTGTTTGTAAGAATGACGTCACATAACAAGGCCTCCATCAATGCGTTCCAATGATTACCTTACTAACTATTTTTTTTTCGTATCTTCTATAATAATTGATCTTCAGCTCTGTGAATTTGTTTATATATTATTAGAAGATGTTAATAAAAATAATACTCATAGGGATATATATCTAGAACGCATCTCTAGTCTTGCGCTATGAGAAATGTTTTTGTTCGGATTTATTGACTGTGTGTATTATAAGTACTGAATGAACCTCGTTATTATTTCCTTACTATGATAACATTAATATAAAAAATGAGCGTTAAAACACACATAAATAACATTAGGTGAAGCAAAGTATAATTCTATTTTTATATGGTAGATTGTACAAAGAGAGAAGTCTAAGCATTCGGATCCAGGCAAGTGTAGTAGAAAATGGAAGATATATTACAGCAGAAACATTTATAGTGCATGAGTCATATAAGGAATATTTTAATACAATTTCTTATTCAAAGTATATCAGATTTTGATGATTATTTCTTCTTAGCTGTTAACTGCACTTTCAAGGTGAATTTGTTAAGTTACTGCGCACTGAGGGCTTGGTTATTGTAAGTGGTGTTGCAACTAACGGCATAATCAGCCAATGATAAGATCCCTGTAAGAGTGGGCAGAATTAATCCCTTTCCTGGAGTAAATGGGGCTGCTACTTTATTCACATGGTAAGAATGAGACAAATATCTTTATAGCTTTGGTGTTGCCGTTTATATAATTACATTGTATGAATAACATAGTGCAACTCAAGTCAGGCATCAGTTTGTTTACAGTATATATGTTGAAAATAGGAAGCACTTTATCCCCTTTTCTGTACAAATATTCAGTTTATTATAAGTTATTATCACGCTTGATTTATTGTTCTATATATTTGTCCCCGAGGGGGCTAGTTTATTGGGCACCCCCTTGTCATCCTGTGCAAGGTGAAGCGTAAAAACGTTTACAGAGTCCACCTGGGAAGCATGCGTAGTTCATGCTTGCCTTCATGACTTATGCATTTAGGGCGTAAAAGCCTGAAGGGTCATGGGTTTTGTCAGGAAGTTACATAAAGTGACAGAATGATGGACGCTTGATTGAGCTTCAAAGAATTTATTAGTAATCGAGGAATGACCCACTTCATGACCCTGACTTTTGCAAGCCAGCTCAGTTGTTTTGTTTTCTTGTTCGATATACTGTATTATCTCTTGACAGTGATCATTGTCCTTTGACTAGGTTGAAAGTTACAGTTACAGCTGGAAGGACATTATTTCTTTGCTCCCGAGTCTATCAATGTACCTGTGACAAAGAACTTTAACACAGAGGTGTATTTATTTATTTATTTATTTATTTATTGTTTATCGCTTTGGCGATACAATACAAAAAGTAATCAGAATACCCGAAGAAACCATGCCCCGACACGGAAATCGAACACAGGGGACATTCGTGAGATATACGCGCGTTGCCAGTGTCCCACTAACACCCTCACAACAGCATGTTGTAAAATTATTTCATCCTTTATCAACTCACTAACCGTTCAGACGGTTGGTCCGGACCTTCGTAATTTGGTTATGAAATTTATTGTCAAGCACAGGAGTACCCGGAGGAATCCTGTGGTGTTTGGTAGGGTCGCAATTGGAAAATACCCTCCCAGGCACTTGTGTCTCGGGCCAGTCTCGAATCTATGACAGAGTTTGAGAAATACGCGCGTTACTGCTGTAACCCTAGAAGTATGTTGTAACTATTAAATAGTTAACGGGTGATCGTCGGCTGGGAGAGGCTGTGTATTATTCAACGGGGGAGTAAGGGGCTCTTCTTGGTGTGAAGACTCACAGTGTATTAGTAGTGGTGTTAATTTTCTATTCAACAAATGGGAACTGCACTATTGAAATACAATTGTGTCATTCACAATTTTACAAAGAATGAACAGGAATTATACTTCAAGACGATGAAGCAAATTGAGCAGGGACAGGAAACATTCTCACAGGAAGTATTTTACAACCTGGAGGCTTACTTTAATCCCAGATTCACAGGACCCAAGTTGACCATGGAGGTGGACTCTTCATCCCCTGACTTCGTAATTTCCAAGAAGTGTCTGAAAAAGGTCTGCAGCTTGGGAAAACATCCCTCGAAAGTAGAGATCTAAATGATGGGATCAATTATGATGACTTAAAAATTTCATGTCACCGATTTTGCTACACATGATTTTTAAATAGGCAGTGATTTTCTTGGTGACTTTGGATGTCAGTTCGACTACGTCGCCAATGATATTTTCTTTCTCAATTAAAACTAAATTTTCAGGACTAAAATGTCTACCTCGCCTCAGGATTAACGCTTCAGACAAGGCTCCAGCCAGGGCAGCAAGAGTTTTAAAGTCTTGATTGGAAGTGAAACGCCCCACCAACACGAGGGAACACGAAGGGGCATAACTACAGTACACACTTGGCAAATTATCATGTAGAACGAACCTAAGGTAATACATGATCATCCGAACAGTATTGAGTATCAAAATAGCCCTAGAAATTTTATTTTCGAGAACACTGAAGGGATCCTCCACAGGCCACTGGCTTCCTTCGCTAGGCATAGTCACTCCTAGTGGGTGGCTATTAGGTAAATAGTTAAATATTTGTTTATTGAGAGAACAACATAAAACGGTTAATTTAGGCTAAAATATATTAAACATTTTATAAACCAACAACTATTTATTAAAGAATTATCTCATTTTACTTTTGTTTTATTTAATTTTTGCTTATATAAAAAACATTTTAATGCAAGAAGCATCGCTTTAATTCAAGAAACATATTTGTATCAAACTCAATTTCAAGAAACACATTTTTAAGAGGTTGGGAGGGGGATGTTTGGTTTATCACCCACACCCTGTTCCTACTGCAAAAATAAATAATAACCACAAGTAAAGAAGAAAACACGAAGTTCCCAAGCGCTTTCGTGTAATTCACATCTTCAAGGGTGAGTAAAGACTAAAGATAAGTACAAAACAAGGTGTATATATATACAGAGGAGGGTGAGACCAGGTCCACAATGGTCAGGTATTAGGTAATGACCCTACTAATCTTTAAATAGCACGGCAACGGTCGGTAGTCAGATCAGAGGGTTAGGTGACCCAACCTTCTCACCTGGTTACAAATCTTCTTAATTACAAAATTGTCCAGTTTGTACATGCCATTACTCAAATTCATGTTGAATGCTTCGGTATGTTTAATGAGACTAGATTCTATGATGTTCCTACTATCAATTGAATTACAAGGTAATATAGAGGAGGCATTATCCCAGTCAATGCAATGCTTGTTATCCCTCAAATGAACAAACAGAGCATTGGATTCCTGGCCTGTGTTAGCCCAAGCAGCTAACGAGTCGATCAGTGGTGAAGAGGATAAAAGTAATTAAGTATTATATACGTACAAAGAATATCGGATCACATCTTCACTACTGACGGACTTGTAAACGAGAGAAACCAGCTCCTCCGTCAGTTTCTTGAGAGACATCATAAAGTGCAGTTTCTCCCGACGTCCCGACACCCTTCATATGCTCATAAGGATCCCAGGTGATTCAAAAGTGTTCGTTAGGATCCCAGATGACTCAAAAGTCTTCATAAGGATCCCAGATGACCCAAGGTACTCATAAGGATCCCAGATGATTCACAGGTGCTCCTAATGATTCAGCCCTCACTTCACATTGACTTGCAGGTGTGGAAGGCAAGAAAATCGTCACAGGGGTCCATTTAATGTGATACAGCAGCACTGTTATTTGGTGTATGGTATAATCTTGGTGAAATAGTTAATCAATCATATGAAGTATTGTTATATGTAAGAGAAATGGCGAGCTAACCCCTTGACTGAGAAAAGTCTGAGTTTAGGTGAAAACATATTTAAGTTATCGTACTCGAGAGGTTGTCATTGTACTCAAGGGGTTGCTATCGTACTCAAAAGGTTGTCATCGTACTCAAGGGATTGTCATCGTACTCAAGGGAATGTCATCGTACTCGAGGGGTTATCATCGTCCTCGAAGGGTTAATTGAATTAAAATTGCCTTATCACAAAGAGCTGATGCATCACTTGAGGCAAAGTCAGACTACTGCAATGTTAACTCCAGGCCTGGGGAAATTCTGCTTGTTTCCCTGGGATAGGATGACCGAGGGGCAAGGGGAAAACCTCTATATTTAGGATGGATATTTCAGGAAAAATCAAATCCTCCACAGACTTAACTAATCTTTAATTCAATTTTACCAACATTTATTACAGTCATATGTGTCCATGGGTGAACATTTACTCGGAAAGAAAGGTTCTACTAAGCTGCTTTGTTAAAATTATCACTATAAGCGACCTTCTATTCTTCATCTACCTTAACCCTTGAACTTGATTTGCCAACATACACGTACTGATGATAATAAACCTGTTAATCAACTTTTAGAACACAGAAGGATTTTTTTTACTATATTAAACTTTGCCCCCCTTGGTGTTAGGGTTTGAAATAAGTTACGATAGGTTAACAGGATTTAAACAGTATAAGGAAGGGATTAAGTATTATTTTCTCACTCTTTCTCCCCTTATCGTTTATGCCACACTGAGATCCTGTGGCATTTATCTACAATGTTAAACTGAGGAAAGAAACTGGTTGAATATTAAAAGTGTGATCTTAACAAATACTAAATCTTTCCCTCTCTTACAGGTACACTAGCTTACTCATCAGCTAGAGTACCTCCCAGCTGACTCTGTAAGTCAACCCTCGAGGTTGTAAGTACTGTTAATTACTACACAGCTTAGGCTGGAAGACTGTTTCATAGGCCTACCACCCTCTGTGAAAGATTTTCTTATATTCTAATCGTTCTACATAACATCTTGCCGAGCTTGAAGACGTGTCCTCTCGTGTTGGTGGAGCATTACATCACGAAAAAATGGCCCGGTCTTACGTTTCCATCTGGTACGTTCTCAGGGTGAGTATCGTGAATGTTAGGTGAAATAATTTTACATAATTTTTAGAAAGTAGAATTTCTGGAACTTTAAAATTCA